GCCGCGCGGCGGAACTCCTCGCTGCGCCACGTGTAGAGCAGCGGGTTGAGCGCCGAGAGCGCGCAGAGCAGCAGCCAGCTGGCKGCGTGCAGCGCCGGCGGCGCGGGCGGCAGGAAGAAGGCGAGCAGGCTGAGCCACGCGAGCGGCTGCGTGCCCAGCAGGAACACGCAGCAGAGCAGCAGCACCGAGACGCTGCTGAGGCGGCGCTGCGCGCGGCGCGGCGGCGGCGGCGCGGCCGGGAAGGGCAGCTGGTGCAGCAGGTGGAAGTTGAGCACGCTGACCCGCTTGGCGCTGCCGCGCACCCGCCGCACGATGCCCAGGTAGCAGTGGAGCAGCAGCGCCGTGTGGCCCAGCACGGCCAGYGCCAGCAGCAGGGCTGTGTAGCGCGGGCCGGCGTCGTGCTCGGCGGCGCGGCCCGCAGGCGGCAGCGGCGGCCGGGCCGGCGCCCAGAGACCGGGCAGCAGCGGGAGCAGCAGCAGCGCCAGCAGCCATGAGAGGCCGATCATGGCGGCCGTGCGCCGCCGCTGGTAGAGCGCCTGGTAGACGCTGGGCAGCTTGGTGATGAGCACGTACCTGTTGAAGGCCACCAGGAGGTGGGAGGCCAGGGAGACGGTGAGGCCGAGGCCCAGGAGCCCCCCGCGCAGCAGCCGGTACTCAGCYGAGCGGAGGGAGGAGGAGTTGGGGGGCAGCAGCCCCAGCACGGCCTCCTGGGGCATCCAGAGGGCGCAGACGCTGAGGTCGGCAGCGCAGCCGTTCACGATGAACGCGTTGCTGGTCGTCTGCAGCTTCTTGAAGGAGAACACCAGGTAGATGACCATTACATTGGACAGAGTCCCCGAGATGGCCAGTGCCGCGTAGAGCAGTGACAGGAGGATGCGTGTCCCGGGGGAGTCCTCCCAGAGCAGCAGCAGCGGCGAGCTGGCGCTCCAGGAAGACGCGTTGGGCATCGCGCTGAGTGCGGCTCAATCCTGACGGCTCCCTGTAAATCCCATCGTCACCTGGCTCAGAAGATCCCGCTGCAGAAGTCCCTCAGGTGGGAAGATCCCGCTGCAGAAGTCCCTCAGGTGGGAAGATCCCGCTGCAGAAGTCCCCCGCCAAACACCAGGGACGAGGTGCCGCAGATAGACTCTAAGGCAGGTTTCAGTCAAATGAGCTGTTGGATCCAAAAAATGCAGCTAGCAGCAAAGATCCAGCAGTGTCCATGGCAGGTGGCTGGCAGGAGGATGCCCAGGGCTGTAGATCGTGCAGGTGGGTCCACAGGACGCAGGGAGCTGCGAGCCRGCAGCAGCAGGACCGAGTCTGTAGCTGTGGAAATGCCAAAAGCAGCAGCACCTTGCAATCAGCAGCAGAAACGGCAGCAACTGATACAAAGCTTTGCAGTTTCTCCTGTGCCACACTACGTACACTGTATATCATTCCAGGAAGATTCAGCCCTTCCACTCTTCATGAATTATTCAGCAGATTTTCAACTTGTTAAATCAAGAAGAAAAAAAACCCAAAACCTTGCCATGCTCCAGAAATACTGCAACTGCAGTCTGACTCTCTTTCTCTTCGTCTTACCGGTGTTCTTGTTTCTAACACATTTACACAGCAACTTTTATTTTCAGCAAGCTTTCAAAGTAATACCAATTTCAGTCACTTCTGTGTCAAACATAGTCCATTTACTGTAGAAACTCCTCTACTAGATCTTCACTTAAGTTGCTATTTTAATGTTTAGTTATTAGAAAACATTCTATGCCTCCATAAACTTTTTTTAGTTACTTTTACAACTGGTCTGTAATACAGTATGAATTTCAAATTAAATTGCCTTCAGACATGATATACAGGTCTTTCGTTAAGATGGTATTTATTTGAGGGAGCTGATATTCTGTCTATATATTTTATGTTCATATATTTCTGAAGAAATGGGAATGGCAAATTAAATGAAAATTCACAATGTATTCTTATGTGCTAGAACTATCSCTGGTCTTCACTGGAGACACCTCACAGCCCCGGAGTCCATATGTGCATGAGCAGCACTGTGGGCTTCTGACTAGGCTCTTGGGTGGAGGAATCTGACCTGGCTTCAGACTTCTCAGAAGCTCCATGCACCCCATCACAAACCATTTCCCAAAAGCCTGTTGCTGTATCCAGCTGGTGGTTTGCAGGAATTGCATGGGGATGAGAAAAGGCACCTGCAGCTTTTTTGTGTGGTCCATAAAATCCAAAAAAAAAGTGAACATGTATGAGCACAGAGGCTAATCTGCACATGCTAAAAAAATAAGGGACATACTAAGTATGTTTAGAAACYGTCTTTTGAGAAATGTGAAGGCTCTGAATGGCAAAGCCAAACTCCTTTAATACCTTCTTTTTGCAGGCAAGAGCCTGAGTTACTTGTCACTTCAGAAATACATTTCATTTCCTTTTGATGCTCAAAAGGTTCTGCCGCCCCCACCCTGCAGCACAGCAACGAGCAGAGTTTAAAGTGACAAGTCTGAACGGCTCTGCTTCTCCTTTTGCCAATCGCATCTCAGCAAGGCTGTTTACAAAAAGCAGCCCTGAAATGGTGTAATTCATTAAATGCAGTTACAGTTGGGTTCAGATGATATAATCTGCAACAATAATTAAGCCTGCAAATTACTCAGATTAAAACCTATAGCACATAAAGGACCAAAAAGAACAACCTCCTTCTGTTTGTTTTTTCCTCATTTATTCTYTCCAAATTGCCAACCTGACTGTTGTGAGATGGTTTCTTATACTGAATTATGTGTTTAAAAAATCCCTCTTCCCATATTCCCAGCATATGACTCACTCAGGTTTCAGCACAAATAAAACACTCACTGGATATGGGAATTCCATCCCAGCAGTACCTGCTGCGCAGCCAGAACTCACTCTTGCTAGTGGCTTGTGATCCCAGATCCGTGCACAGCTTTACTGCAGGATGCGCCGCTTCCCAGCCATTCCAGGCAAAGAGAACTATAAGCCTAGATGAGCTTTAGATGACCAAAGAAAAGTTTGTCAGAAGTCAGGTCCTCTGTTAGCTCTGCCATCTTGATTCCCTCAGCAGACCAAACTATTTCCATTTGAAAAYATCTGAAGTGCGTTGAACCCGCATCTCTACAGCTCGTGGGAGCCCTTTTCACAGCGACGTTACATACAAGGTCAGACAGACCGTTTATCCTGTTGGTACAGTAGGAACTGAGACAGGCTCCRTAACACACGTAAGAATTCCTGGAGTCCAGGGAATTCAGCTACAGGGTGAGTCGTGTTGGTGCCTTGTAGCCACCTGGAYGGGTGGTCAGGAGCAACCTCAGGATGAAAGAGCCTCCTTTTCCTGCCGCTRAGGCACGGGATTCACTTAGGAAATTAATTTGCCATCTGATATCAACCACCTCTTCCCATGTATGCCCATAAAGAAATGAACTCGTACTAGTCTCTCTAGGTTTATCTAAACTGAGCAGGTATCACGCGCTTTGTACAAGTTAGATTTAGTGCAGAACACAGAAAACTATTGCTGAGGAGGGCTTTTCATCCAATACCAAACAACTCTCCTCCTTCTGGAGCTGTCTACTGTACTGTCCTGTTGATCTCGTGTCCCATCAGGTGGTAAATGAATGGATGGATGTTAATGGTATTGTAGACCTCTAGAGAGAGGCAAGCAGCAAGTTAGCACCAGAAAGCCGCCAGCTCTACCACAGTCCCATGCTGCGCTCTCCAACAACTACATCACAGTAGAAGAGCCCAGTAACGTTACAGCCTCCGTAATGACAACTGTGCCATTAGCAAAGGTGGCAACACTGAAGAGCGCGCCGTGTTGCCTAGCAGCCACAAGGCATTGCCTCCTTAGATACACGTACATCAAGATTTGAGGTTAATGAGTTGCGAAAAACATACATTGCTCAGTTTTAAAGAGAATTCTATAAAGACTAAACTCCTCTTTCAGCAACTCTAGCTTCTGTTTAATAGCAGCTGTGACACCATTTCACTATGGCAATTAAATAAGCGATATAGGAAAGCCCAAAGCTCTCCGAGTACAACATTAAGTAGGCAGGAGGCTACAAGGAACCACTAGAAATTATAAACATTAGAAAACAATTCACTGCAAAGCTATTGCTAGTGACCAGAGTGCAAGATTTTCTGCTTCACCAGTGTTAGGTAGTATCCAAATTAAACAAATTATCCAAATTAAAATCCAAAWTAAAACAAATAGTTAACAGAATAGGCAACTCTTAAAACAAGGTTTTTGTTTTGTTGCTATGTTTTTTCCTCTGAATAAAGAAATACTTAAACTGGATATATTCTTGCTGCGCAAGGGCAAGTATGGTAACTGAAATGGGAGAGGTCTGTACGAGACCCTTTTCTCCTTACCTGATTATAAGACAGGAAGACAGGTTCAGGAGCATGTTTTTCATCTCCCATTCAGCATTAAGTGGGGAACAGCTTATTCAAACTGCTGCTTGCATGTTTGTAGATTCTGCAAGTGAAACATCGGTGAAAAATCAAACATTTCAAAAAGGATACACCAATTCAGCTCAGGTAGATAGACAGTAGCTTGTTTCTCACAAGATGCTCTGTGCAAAAGGGGTTGCAGGTTGCACAACACATGTGGAAGATCCTCACTTCAGATCAAGGGCACCTTATGCTCGTGCAACGTGGAGTTAGTGTCTCCAGCTCCCGAGATGGCAGAGCTGCTCGTGAACAACTTAAGTTTGTATCTGCTGGAAAAGAGTCAGCATAATGGGAAATCCTGCATCGCTGTCTTGCTGGAGTTGAATGTGGGTGTCAGTAAGCACACAGATAAAAGCATCAGTGAAGCCTTTCTAACAGTCCCACACCAAAAATTATTCATAAATTAAGTTCCCACTGGGCTGAATGAAAGGTTCTTATATATGCATGAGGCTGTTTGAAGGAGGGGGAAAAAAAAGATTAAAAACCTGAGAAGAAAAGAAAACAAAAACCAAATAAGGCAGTTACCTTCAAATGGAGAAGGGTTATTAGTAGGTCTCCCAGATACTCTACAGGACCGTATCAAAAGATGGACAAAGCATTAGCTGTCCTTACTTTGGACAATACGCAGTCCAAATATTCAGTAAAAATACTTGCCTCTCTCAAAAGCATTCACAGTAAATAAAAAATAAAGAGGAACTCCAATTCGTTTTGCAGAGAGGTTAAGAGAGAAACTGCTTTTGCATGTGGACTATATGTGGACTTCAAAAATAATCAGTCTAATAAGGAATTACCTGTGCACTGACCAAAGATGCATTTATATATAAGGTATTTTTAGATAGTTAATCTTGTGATGCTAACAAATGAAAATACCAAAATAATATGCTAAGAGATAATTACAGTTACAATCCAACTTTGTCAGGATAATTAAATTAACTTGTGTCATTGGATTACTTTGCTACAAAATAGCACATCTTATTTGACAGAAAGGCTCATATTTGCAATTGAAAGGACAATCAACCTGAATATGGATTCATTACAAACATGATTATCTCTGGTCTTTCTAATTAGATCGCTGATATGCTGCAGGTTAAGGATATACATAAGCAATTTACTTGACAAGGCCCTCAATTACTGTATTTCTTCCTTGCTGTACCTCACAGTGTAGAGCTCATCAAGTGTCAACCTTCTGGGGCCTCTCATTGTGTAGTTGTCAGCAGAGAACATTATTACAGGAACCAAAATCTTCCCTTTCAGCTGTATTGTAATTCAAAAATATTCTCTGAATTTGTAGCAATATCGGACTGAAAAGCTTCATAAACCACATTTTAAAGAGATGATTAAGAGTTTCATAAAGTCATTAGGCATAGAACTGTGGGCCTAGAGAATTCCAGATTTATCTAGTCTTTCTGTTAGCTTTTAGGAAACTTACTTAAAACCTCATGTGCCACAGCTTGTTCTCTCAACAGCCACATTAGCTGACRGTTTATCATATAAATCCACACAAACAAGTCTAAAAAGAGGAAAACAGGGAAAAAGATGGTTGCTTTTGATTAGAGATATTTTAAGCTTGCTCTGCAGTTACATCCAAAGCGGCATCCATTAACAGCATTTACTGTATATTGGAAGAGACAGACACTAGAATTCAGTCTGTGTCTGCAACGTTGTTGTACTACTAGTTTTGCCATTCCTTTAGAGTGGCTATGCAACAGTTTTATACACACACACACACACACACACACACACACACACACACACCATCCATATTATTATAAAACAGACTTACCCAGACAGGAACTGTGGAAAAATAATAATGCAACACAGCAAATTCTCTGAAAATAGAGTGAAACCATGTTAGAAGCATCTGTGGCTAGCTTTTAAAGTCAAAGGAACTCTTCATTTAAGAAAAAATAAAAAGTGAAATGAAAATCTTTTGAAGAATGTTTTGASGAGCTCCTTTTGTTTGGTGCAAGTTAATATGATTAATGAATATGATCTCTAACAACAGAATAAGGTCTGAGTAAGAAAGGCCAAGAAACAAGAAAGGAATGTGGCTGATATATGCATTTATTATCCATTAGCTGTATATATATGTATATATATGCACATATCTACATTTCAAAATAAAACAGTATTTTTAAGGAAAACTATTTATAACAAAATACATGACAATTCTTTGTAGGAGGTAGAATTACCTTACTATTAACCTAAAATTCATATACAGTATATTGTATATATATGCACACACATATATGCTACTTAGTGTGTGTATATGTTACATATACACAGTTGTGATAAAGTACAGTATTGCATGTAAAGTTTCAGTGATTTATATAGCTGCACTGAGTATTGTTTACTACCACTTTTAAATGCAACTTTCCATGGCAGTTCTGACCTGAACTTTTCCCAAAGCTGAAATGCCATTTTCTTTAACATCAATTGCAGAACAAGTGCACATCATTCACATCGTCAGGAATGAAGACTGACAAATTCAACCAAATTTCATTTTCAGGTTTCTATAAAAATATAGGCAAAACTTAAAGATAAACATTCTCTTCCATTTTTGAATTATAGTGACAAATCAAATTTTTATAGTTGTTTAAATGCTTTTCTTTAACTGTAAGATTAGCATGCAGTCTCTAGTACTTCACTACAACACTTTCTTGCAGAATTTGCTCCCTAGTCAAACCCAATTAAACTACATATTGAAATGCATCTCTACTACTGCCAAAGCTGATACCAATTCCATCATGATAATATTCTAATTAAAGAACATGTTTCTGAAGAGAAAATATTAATAGACTTCTACATTATTGCTTGCTTGCCTTGCTAATGAAATTGAACCTATTCTGCCAAATGTAGCTTAAACAATTAAGTAGGCAAGTCTGCCAAATTCACTGTACATGTGCATTCTTATCAAGTTTAAATTTGGTCTTTTGTTGGTGCAGCATATATTGCAGAACAAGATTTTACATTCTATACTGAAGAGTTAAAATATCAATTTAAGACAAATTAGAAAAGTGTTAATTGTATAAAAGAATGATCAGCTAAATTACTTTTTTTGCAATTAGTCATATAGTTTCCCTTTATTTTCCTTATGAGACATCGGCAGCTGAAAGTAGAAAAAGGACTGTATATCAAGTGCTTTCAGTTCATCATATGGTAGCCAGTCTCYCACTAGTTCGACTTCTGTTAAGTTACCATGAGACCAACTAGTGAAAGAGTAATTACATTAGGCTTTAAGCAATAATGACGGGCCGGTAAGACAAACATCTTCTTGCTCATAAAAAGAACTTTCCATATCTTATAGAAAAAGACCTAAAACTTCATTAAAATACGCATTTTGGTAGCAAGGAATCAAAGAACACTAAATTAAAATATATTCTAATTTTGTACATAATTATATATTGCTTAACAAAATAGTCTCTTAATACATACATATTTTAACACTGTACACAAGTTATAAATGTATTAAACTCATTAGAAATATTTTCAAGCTGACTCAGCATTAAAATTTTAAGTTTGTATATAACACAGGCTAGTAATCTCCATAAATTCAACTTCAGTGCATCTGTAGTAGTCAGTAACCAGAAATTTCTGGCTGTTAAGAAGTTTTGTCTTGGTGTTGAAGATTTTAATATATCTTGGATCAAAGACGACTCAAGCAACTTTTCCTTTATCTCTTCTCCTTCACGATGGACTTAGGTTAAGGGCTCAAGAGGTTTCACCGAAGCAGCAAGGCTTTAGTACTGAACATATTCAGACTGAAGGGACTGTGCAGGGGAGAAACAGAAACTGATTAAAACTCAGAGTGTTCATACTTGCATAGAATATATATTTTGCACTAAAATGTAAGAGGAAGAGACAGAAGGAAAATCAAGAGAGTTGAATAAAGGGGAAAGAAATTTGATAATCCGTGTACATATGCAGAATGCAATAAAATACAAGTAATTCAAAAACTGGATACAGTAAAGTCCACCAGCTTTTCTGTATTCTCACTTACTTCCCAAAATAATTTCTAAAAATTCTTGATTAAAGTTTTACACATCCCTTAAAACCCAGACAATACCAAAGCCTTTGGGAAACGGTATGACTGCAATTACTGTAACTGAAATGCTTTCATTTCTCCTGAACAGTAAGAACGAAAGTGCTGGTATAGAAACAGAGCATAGAGCAACATGTTGATTCAGATAATCCACACAGGAAACATGTGTGATACAGCTAATCACTGAGGAAGAAATGACAGCACAATTAGGCATATAAATAACTTTAGGTTTAGTTAGGTTTAGTTACTAAGGAAACAAACAGATATGGAAGTGAAACTGTTGAAGCCAATGGTTGGTTTGGATTAGCAAAGAAAGTAAATGGATATAAGAGTTTTGCAGTTAAGACAATCTCTTCTACTGTCTTTGTTTCATAAACTCAGAATCACCATGAAATAGTCTATCATATTAAGACTATTTACCTCCACTCTGTACTCTAGTTCTGGATTATTAGCTCTGCTGACAGCATTTGTCAAGCTGTTTATTAGAAGTTTAAGACTGAGCCAGAAGGAATATCCCCTCATTAAATTCATTAATGAGCATCTAAAATTCCCTTGAGAAAGTCCCTTGAGGCCTTCTCATTTTCAAAAGTGTATTTTAACAATGATGCCTGTTTATTAGTTAAAACAATCTTTGAAATGGATCCCTGAAAACTCAATTCCAAAACAAGTTGATTAATAAACAACGGAATGCAGGAAATTTCATGATATACACTTGTGTGATTTGCAATGTAATATTACTTTGCAAGCTGGGATAGGTGCAAGATGACCAGCAAGTCCCGCACACTTCTGGTGCTCTCCGATTCAGGTGGCAACAGCTGGCAATGAGCTGGAACAGCCACTCCTCACGGCGCAGGCAGTAGGAACCAGAGTCTGTATTGGAATTTAAGTATGCCTACGTTCCGGAAATTAAACTGGAATTACTGAAATTATTAGAAATCCTTATTCTTCTCACAGGATGAGGTATACAAACATGGAAGAAAAATTAATGGCAACATATAAAAAGAACAAATATCCATGCAGCAGAGACTGGCTGAAAACACCAGACAGCTCATGTTGTTAATTTGGTACAGATGGGTAGGCTCTTTTTTTTTTTTGTTTTTGTTTTTGTTTTAAGATAAATGCACATTTCATAATATTTCCAGCCTAATACTAATCCTTTTCCACATAACCCTGATTTCTTACAATTTCAAAGTGTTTTCTGAACATAGAAAGAGGCCAAACTAAATGTAAGAAGCCTTTTTTTCCCCAGAATAAACTTAGTCGTTATAATTTCCATTGAAGTTCTTTCACTAAAAAGCAGGATGGCAGCTATAACAACTGAATTGTTGCAAAGGATGGGGACTAATTTTTAAATGTGAAAAATTAAAGCTGGAGGTGGATTTTGCTGGCTTCTGCAATTAAACCATTTGTGCTCTTACAACTTTTCATGTTGTTCAACAAGATGGACTGATGTTTCAAAGCCTGTAACTGTTTTGCTTCAGTTTTTTCCTTTCCACATTTACATACCTAGTTCCTGTTTGTGGTAACTCAAACTACTGCTCGCAGTTCTGAAAACTTTGTTAAAAACAAACACCTCAAGCCACCTTCACAGTCACACACAAATATTCAACATTATTTAAATAAAGAAAAAGGTTAAATAAAACAAAGCTGACTGCTGAACTACCATGAAAAGAGAATAAAAATATTTAAGGAAAAACTGTATTTGCAATCCTACAGCAATTCCATGCAGTGTCAAGCACTGCATTTTATACCAAATACTTGCCATTTAAGGTAACAACTAAGTATTAGATGGCTTTGCTACAATCAGCAAGTGCTGATCAAGGCCTGTTGACGTGACTGGAGAGATCGGATTTTTTTTTCCTTGTACTGTAGGAGRCACCCATAGACTCCTGGAAAGGAAAACAAGCCACAGATCTGTGCAGAGGCTTGAACTGAAGGCACCTGCATTAACTTCAGGACCAACTCAGCTGCAGTTTAACTCAAAAGGCACAACCTTACAGGACTTAGTGGTATTTGCTAGGGCTTGAACATGCACTTTTTCCCAAAYAGCAACAAAATTCTAACAGTATGTTGTGATTTTTAGATTCAAACTTTCATCTTTACTTGCAAAGAATTTAAAGTTTTTGACTATGCATCAACACTCACTAAAACATATGCTGTAACAAGAATTTTGCAGCATATGCATAGGCAAGAATGACTCTGAATACATGATAGCAACTAAAACGTTTAAAATTAACAACTTCTAATACTTCTATTATTTTAAACAAAACTTAACTATATATTCTGACAAGTGATAGACAAAAAGGAAGTTTATATTGAAAATTCATTTAAAATTATTTCTGTGTATATACATTACACTCAAGCTATCCTTTCATTAAGATTTATAGATCAGTAAGACTACTTTGTCTTTTTTTTTTTTTTGCAAAGACAGCGTTGCATTCACTAATGTTAATTAGCTATTAAGTAAAACTATCCTAGAGGCAGAAAGATCACRGACATGAATTTAAAGATATTGTTATACTTAATTTTTTGAATTTTTTTCTGTCTTGCCAGTTTCCATGACAGCTACAGAAGCATAAGGTGACTCATCTTAAAGCTATGCAGATGCATATCTTTCAGTGAAGATTTTTAAAGTGATGTTTAGCAATGTAATTATTTAATAATATAATAACGTATTTTATTTAGTAATGGAATTTTTTAATGGCTAGTGATATAACTATAGTGAAAATAAAAAAAAATTGTCAAAGTACCTTAAATGTGGCCATATTTGATAAAGTATTTCTACAAACTATAGATGACAGATTGTTTTATTTGAAAATTTGAGAAACTAGATATTTTCAAATACTTATTATTAGCTAGAATGGCAAGTTGTTGTATGAAAAATCAAGCCATCTGGTTCATCAGCATAACAGCTGATATTGATGGTACAATATAGATGAGAAGTTATAAAAAAAGTTACACTAATGAAGGAAAAAAAATAAGGAAAATATGGCTGACAAAACCGAGGAACTCCTGTCGGAACCAAACAATGGTCATGGTAACACATTTTTCAAAACAGACCAAAACACCAAACCAGAACCAAAAAACACCACACGCGCGCGCACACACACACACACACAAAAACAAAACACCCACACTGCACCCCACAATACTAAGTAACTAGGGGGGAGGGATGAAGGGAAAGCATTTGCATCACAGAAATGGAGATGTTGTTGATCTTCTCACTAATAAAGTTAAAGTGTATTCATTAGAGAAGAACAGTTATAGTCCTACCAGTCTTTAAAAGTTCCTGCACCACTCATGTCTACTAAGGAACTTCAGAAGAGAATATATTGTTGGATTTTAAGTCRAGTTTCTGTACAATTACAGATGGTTAGTGCCACATTAACACTGGAAAACAAGATTCAGCTTCTCAAATGAACAGGAAAGTAACTCCTATCATTCAAGMCCAGTCTGATGAGCAAGGATGAGAGGGCACACACGGGCACAGGCGTGTGCCCGTTAGCAGAGCGCAGGGCAGCACCCGCTGCAAACGCTGCTGCAGCAGGGTAACGTTCAGCTGAGCAGGCTGCGCCCCGTGCCCACAGCCAGCAGGGAGGTGGAAACCTTCATAAAGAGCCCTGCTGGTAACAGAATCACACCAGAACTACCAAGGCTTGTGCTATTCTCTCATTTTGTTCATGAGTTTAAGATCACTGCTAAAAATGGCCACAAATAAAAATATCTGGATGACAGCAGTTGAAGTGACAAGACAAAACAATCTTCCTTGGAAGGCTTATAGAATCCAGTAMAAGGGAAGTTTTAACATAGCAAAATGCAGAGCTCTACATAAAAGAACAAAGAATGGTGGCCATTAAACTCATATGAGAGGCAGCATCTTGCATAGGGAGAATTYTGTTTTTCCCCATGAACTTGCAGAGCATGATGTTTAAAAGGCCAACTCAAGACACTGCAGGATTTTCAGAAGCAGGACAGCACTGGGTAACAGTTTTCTGTACCTGAAGGGTAGGTGCTAAGATTGCTGCATCTGCTGCTTGAAAGTGCATGTTCGGAAACTGCAGAGGGCTGTAAAGCTACTGAAAGTGATCTTTGAGTCAAAGAAATTATCAAATAYGCAAAGAGTTTAATTTAAAAGACATCATTGGGATGACATTGGGATGACCACATAATGGTATTTTAGGCTAGGAAAAATATAAGGTAATAAAGAATTATAACAATGACATAATAAAGAGATAGAGAAAGTTTTTAGATTAAAAAAAGATTTTAAGTGTGACTGTACTTAACCAATGGAACACACTATCAAGAAAAGTGATCCATCTTCAAAATAGGTCACCAACAAGAAGGATCTGCATTAGCCAGTATATTATGTGCTATCAGACAAAGAGCAGGCACAGAGATAAGATAATCAAATAATCTCTAATTTGTCATCACAAGTACAAGCTCTGTAAGTGCACTCAGCACCTCAGTCAATGGTGGGTGAGCGCTAACAGCTCAGTGCATTAACATTGACTGCGACGGGGGCACGAGGCCAGCTGAAATGATGAATTCTCATGAGCCCTGTCAAGGTTTGGCTAGATGAGGAAAWGAGCCTGTTGCTTCTCCAGCAGCTTACATTATGGCCCTCAAAACCTCCCACTTACTGTGAACAGTGTCAGYTTGCTTTCCACAGCTGAGTCACATTACACACACAGCACTTCTCCCCTAGGGCTCTGTACAGGTGCACATATTTATACCAAAAACATGCAATTAAAACATGGAAGTATGGAAAAAACACCCCAATATTTACTACACAGGGTACAACAGAAGAGAACAGGTATGGACCTTGCAGAGAATTATTGGTCAAATATACCAAATAAACACATTCAAGGAGAAGAATCAAAATAGACACTATCACTTAACTGTTGAGCTCCATAATCATTTTCTCTCAATTTCAAAACTGACTCTGGTTCCAATATACTCCATTAAAGCCTCTATCACGCCTTCCTCTTTTAATGACTATATTTTTGTAAGCATGTTGGATGAAAAATGGGAATACCTAACAAAAATGGCTTTTCAGAATGACAAATCATGACTGACAGATTCCAGGCTGTGCCTTTATTCCAATATCCTCACCTTGCTGCGGAGCTTCTTCCTGGGTTCCCCCCCCCCTCCCCCATCTCTACACTTGGGCTTATTAAAACAAATTAATGTTTTTAACTAAAAATACTGTCATAGTACTGCTCTCAAATCAGATTTCTCATAATGAGGATGATTTTACATCTAACTTGGGAAGAAGCTAAATTATAAATAATCTCTCATGCAAATTCCACATAACACATGAAAAAAATATCAAATTCAACAGCTAAAGCATAATTTCATAAAACTAAACGGGTAAGATTATATTCAAGACATCCAAAACAAATAAGTTACTGGTGATGATTTTAAACTCAGGTTTAAACTAAATTTAAATGCAACATTAAACTCACTGATTTTAAAAATGTGCAATACTAACATTTATTTGCAGCTATGTTGTGATGAATAAGCTAAACATATTTGTAAAGAAACACTCTGAAAGCATCAAGGATTTTAGAAATATTTCAGGTCAAACAACCTAGCAAGGCAACTCTGCTCTTCCAGTGAAACTTTCCATCAAACTGATGCAGCTTCCATCAAACCAATACAGAACATCTAAACAGCACCACGTTCTTTCTCTTCCAGTTGCAAACAGTCAAATAATCAATAGCCTGTTATGGAAGTAACTTTCTATTGTTATCTATCCCCAAAGGAAGTGTAATTCATGCTTCCAAGTTAGAAATGTGGCTTCTGAACTATTAGAAGTGCCATGTACTAGCTGTTAATGAGGGAATATATCTTTCATTTCCTCATGAAAATACATTTAGAGGAGAATACAAAACACATGAACAATCTTTTTAGTTAGGACTTCCATCAGATACAGCAAGTGCATTCTGTTGGCTGTCTGTTAAGACAGACTCACCACACTGGAAAACAGCTATAGTAACGCTGAAGTAAGAAAAGGAATAGTATTTCCGAAGTTCATTCATATGATGGTTATTTTATTTCAGCAACTACAAATAGAAGTTAAAAAAAAAATATGAAGTGTCAGTACCACTAAACAAATTTACTAGTTTGATTAATTTCTTTCTTCATAACCAAACCTGCAGCAACTTTTATAATTAAAAGGACATCAGATCTTTGGATATCCAGATATTTTAAACTAGCTTTAGAAGCTTATATATGCTTACTTTTTCCACCCTAAAAATCAACATGCCATAACTTACTTTGTAACCTAGTCTGTCCTCTGGAGTTTTTTTTACAGAGACACTTTCAAGTGGCACTAAGCTGTCCATGTAGCTTTTTCAATGCAGATTTTTAAACAGAGAGGTGAGCATAAAATAACCTCTGGGCAAAGTTGCAACATCAAAGTTAAAATGTCGATAGTATCAGAAATACATTGCCTAAAAATACTTTTTATTCAGTGTTAGAAAACGTCTATATTTCAAGTCAAGTGGACTCAATTTTTAAGTGAGTCTTGTCCTTCAGAATGTAACATCTTCCACTCAGTATGACAAGTGCAAAAGTTTTTTTTTTTTTTTTGTTACTGTATGAAGATTAAGCTATATAGGAAACATAAAAGAACTATATTATGAGAGTCTAAAACAAAAGGTGGCAAAAAAAGAAGAAAAGGTATTATAGTTGGTTTAACTTTAGGAATTATTTATTTTCACAAAACCTCCATGATCTAGAAACTTGAAAGAGGCAGGRGACAAAAAAAGCAGCTGAAGTGATAGTTACTTAAAGTAATAGATAAAGGTGCTGTTAGGTCAGAAAGGGATCAGAAAGTTATGGTGGRTTACAAGTTTTGGGTGACAGCTTTTCTTGCAGAAGCAAGGAATGTAAGTACTGGTCAGATGCTTGAAAGGGCTTGTGTGTCTGTGAACTTACAGGAATTGATCGACTCAGGTATCGTGCTGGAGGAGTTGCAAGCCCCACAAAGGGTTGGTAGCTGCTGTACTCATCTGCCACGGCGCTGTGAGGACTGGTTTGGCTGCCCAGGTTGTTGCCACTACTGCTGCTTCTGTTGTACAAGTTGTTGTTCAGTTCATGGTTATTTCTGAGAGGCAGCTGCAAGCTGCCATTCAAGTGGCTGGAGATTTGGCTTACAGAAAAACCTGTCCTAGAGGACGATGATGTCAGTTTGCTCTCATCATCATCTGAAGCAGCACACAGGTTCCCTAGAGAACTGGCTAGTCTGGAGTTTATGGAAACGCTGAATGGAAAACACATGTGGGGAAAAAGATACACACAACGTATGTATAGATACATGAAAATTTAACAGACAATTCAGAAGACATTAGGGGAAATCACATGGACCATTCTGAAATACTTGACGTTTGCACACACCTTGACCTTTCCTTCTCTCAAACAAGGAAAACCAGAATTCTGTGTCAGGAGTTCCCAAATTTGGTATATTCAGGCACTATCACTGCCAGCTTCTACCTGTGTCCAACCCCACACGTGACAGACATGATATTAAAAGGTACAGGCAGCACATGATCCACACCTGATTTATTTTGTGAACATGTAACTGTTTGGGAACTTCTGTTGCTTAAGAGCCATAACATAAGACTACTCTTCAGATAATCAAGAATAAAATAGGATGTCTTAATACTTATTTTCAAGTAACATTTGTATCCAAAAGTTATTCAAAAATCACTTTTATTGTCCATAATTACTTGGTACAGTAGTAAGAATGGAATTAAATATCAATAACTCCAAGGTTCATAAAAATCATTAGCTACAACTCAGAATTATTTTGGGATTAATAGTATATAGAAATATTTTAACGTATTCTTACAGGTACATAAACTCAGATGAGTTAAAAACACACACACAMAAAAAAACTCAATGGTATAATACCATTTCTAAGTTGAAATAATCTCCTGCAAATCTTATACCAGGAGTTCCCTCTTTGATCTGCAAAAAGCTAACATTTAACTGTTAGAATAGCAAATCGTTTTGTAAGTAAATATAAGCTGTTCTACAACTACAAGCAGCAACCTCTTCGCAGATCAGAAACATATGGAAAAACATTATACTATATGGTAAGTATTTGTACCCCAATGGTAAAAAGGAAAACAAAAACCTTTTAAGATTTGAGGCTGAGGGTGTGGAGGATCGGTTAATTCTTTTTGCAGAAGGTGAAATAGCTGCCATCACTCTGGAAGCCTTCAGRGGAGACATGGATCCTTCTGTACTACCTGAAGTATTCAGTCTAAAAGGATTRAAAAAGTAGAGTTTTAACGAGAAGCAAGATTATTGTAATTGAAATACCCASCCCAAACGTATAGTCTATGAATACTGACATTCAGAAGTGGGAATCTTATGTTTCAAATTAACTTTTTTCTAATTATCCTGTTCCCAGTTTTTCTCCTTGCTATATTATTTTACACTATTATAGGCTACTTCTCACCTTCATTAGGTTAAAAGAAGTGGGTTTTTTTGTTGTTGTTTTTTAAAAAAGGTAAATTGCATTTTTTCATTTACTACGAAAAAAATGGTTCTTGTGCTTATTATGCATGTGTAAGTAGAAATTCTTTAACTAACTTTCATGAAATAAAAAACATTCCCTTTTTCAAAGGACAGCAATAAAATTTTTGCAAGTTGCATAAAACAAACAGCTCTAAGGGTGACTCAGTGACTAAATTCTTCATATTTTCTTATAGATTTAAGTATGGTACACTGAGATACTCGAAAAACAGACATTCATAGGTGTTTAGGCTAATAAACTTAGAAATAATACCTTATCAATAATAAACTTTAATAAACCAATATCTTATCAGTAGTGTGAAATTCTCTCCATCCTTAGACTGGAATATCATCATTATCGGCTCTTAGAGATAAAAGGCTTTTGCTATGAGACTAACTACAAGCACAGAAGGGATGATATTGAGGAGAGATGGATTTAATTCTGTGCTCAAAAAGGGTAAACAGAAGTCTTCTAAATTAGACTTCTCTAACCCATCTAAAAATACATGYTGCAATAAAACTAATTGTAAAATGTTTTCAATATTAAAATAGTTATCTTTATAAAGTGTTATATTCCATAATCTATTTTAAATTCAGTGATAAGAGAGCCCATTGGTTATAAAAGTGAGACTTTATGAGCTATTCACAGAGCTCTTATGTCACATTTTTACACTAAATCAAAGATGCTGTTTCCTGTCACTTCTAAGGAGTATTCTGAAGCTGCTAATCAGTCCAAGTGAATGAGTACAACACCAGGGCTGACAGTTCACAACTACAATTATATGCATTGAGAATAATTACTAAATACACTGGATAGTTTATTTCAAGTTAAYACCTGAGAGGCTGCGATATTGACCTGGTGTGCAGTTTCATTTCTTCCAGCCTAAAGAAACCAAAGCAGAAATTAATTTTTAAGTATGTATGCGTATGTCTTGAACCAATGTGTATTGAACCAAATTCTCTGAAGAATATTTTGTGAGGTACATAAGTTATAAAATGCTAGACAAGAACAGCTCTGAAGGACTTTTTTTTTTCTACTTTTACTGCTAAATAACTACTTTTCCTAAGGAGGAATACAGGAAATGAATTAATAAATGTGCAACATATAAATTTCTACTGCTACTAAGAATGTCGTACAACGTCCTTAAAACAAGACCATATACTAGTTAAAAAAAATCAGACAGGACAGACTGAATTTAGAGCTGCAAACTACCTGAGAGCTCCAGTTGTCGCAGAACGTGGCTGTCTCCGACTTTTTAAGGCACGAAGTTTATCTCCCTGTGTCATGCCATTCTTTGCTTCCATATCTGCTTGGTCTACAGAATCATTCTGGAAAACATCAAATATGCAAAGAAAAATACAGAATATATAAGTGCACACTGCAGTTTTGAAACAGAGTGTCTCTGAGTGCAGAGATTAATACTTAAAAGTTAATCGTACAATCTTCTATACTTGTTTGGGTGGTATTCTGCCTTTGCTTAGCTCCAATGAAGTTAATGAGTACAAGCTCACTCATTCACAGATGCCTTCTGCAAAATCCAATCTCAAATTCTGTTCAAAATGATCTAGTCTAGTATCAGAATATATAAAAAAGATCTTAATTCTGTTTTTATGGAACTTGAATTCCAACTCTATATTACATCACTATTTTTAAGATTGTTAATATGAAGGGGAGTGCAGCATGAAATTGTGATATGCGGAAGCAAAAAAAAAAAAAAAAATACTAACAGTATGTTCTGCAACAGAAACTAAAACAACTTCCTAAACTACCAAAAGGAGGGTGGGGGGGGAAACGGGAGGAAAACGATTTTCTTCTTCTTCCTCCACTTTTCCATAAATACTTGAAACCCTGAACAAACGACTTGCAATATTGCAACCTGCTGAATTTTGTGAAAAACTTTTATCGTTTTTTCTAATTAAGATCCGTTCTTCAAAAAGAAAAATGGAACAGTCTAGCTGTGAAAAAGCAATCCAATACAAATATAATTCTAACAGAGAAAAATCTAAAAGTGATCTATAGCTTTTTTTTTTTTTTAATGTACACACATACACTCGTATATAAAAACATCATCTCTGCACATCCCTGCTTGTGAGATTTTTCCTTTGAAAACTTACCTCCCCATATTGATCCAATTCCTGTAATTTATTAAAGCTGCCACTGATTGAAATGTCATCCAAACCAGAGAGAACCCTGCTCACATTTCCATCATCAGCTACGCATTGTTTCTGTTTCGATCGGATGAGGTCTCCCTGCAGCCACAACATCGCTTGCTTCCTGTCAGAGAGGAAAACTAGGTTATGTCAGTACATTTTATACACAGATAAAAACAATGAGGAAATACACCACGCTTTCAAACTGCCAACATTTGAACTATCTATATCTCTTCTTCAGTGGAGAATGCAAAATCTGCAGGAATATCACAAAAAATATCATTTGGAATGGCAAAAGGATCACTTAGCTTAAAATAAATACTAAAAACGCRCACAAAATAATAATGTACTTCTAATGAGCAGAATGCGCTGTAGAACTGTAGAATATTGTGCAGTATATTACTGGAAGCATGAGTATTGTATATAGAAGCATTCTGCAGAGAAGTTGCAGCTGATCTGCACAGCAGAGCTGGCCATAATCAAGTGAAGTGCAGGACTAAACCATCAGCTTTCAGGAAGCAGAACATTATACTCCTCAGACACATGGTAAAAATGACCATTATTTGTTACAATAGCCATCCGGTAAATAAGTTAAGATGAAGACAGATGTAAAGAAAGAGTTGATTTCTAGTAACAAAGAGGATATACGCACTCTTCCAAGAAGTGTTGCTGGGGACCTATAATAGAGCCTGGTCGGCATATTCTTATCCAAGCAATGGCTTCAGCATGCGTGAACCTGTAGTGCTTCATTATGTAGCAGGCGATGAGTGTTCCCGTTCTCCCCAGGCCAGCTACAGGAACACATATTCGGACACAGAAATCATGCACGTTACCTTCATGTTACATAATCACGCACAAAATCATGAGCTCATAATTATCAAATTAATTTTCRTTATGGCTTATGAGAATGCAGCAGAAGTTAGTAGAACTTAGAATGCACAGGAGTGATCATCCTTATTTATGTAATTCGACTTCAAAAAATTTAAGCTTCACGTTAAAGCTGTGGAAATGCTGAATAAGAGTTTCATCTTTGTAAATCTAGTCACAACCAAGCAAATAAAAGGACCCTTGTGCAAACGTCAAGATGCATAATTTCCAAGTCAAAAATAAATATGTGGAAATACGTGTGCAACTTTTACTACCTTACTGGCTCGCTTTTTTTGAATCAGATTTAGTATAAATGAGAACTTATGTGACACAAAAAGGAATGCAGCTTGCAGATAAGATTACTAAAAAGCTGTACTATGCTAAGTACATGTCCAAGTAAGAAAATCATGTCAGAAAAGCACAGGTAACATCTACCAAGTGCAAAATTTTAACATACATCTGTTCCTTCCTGCAAGCTTCTGCTAATATGCAAGCGCCTTCTATAGTGACTGTTTGCATTAAACCTCAGAAACTTTTGCATTTGCTCCTTAGAAAAGTGATTTATGGTACACAAGTTGTGCTTAAAACACTTTTGTAACAAAGTACAAGAACACTGTGGCAAATCTATAATTTAAATTATGTTTATGTCAAATAGGAAACAGTCATYTCATTAATACCACAAGTTTGGGATTCTTGCTTCACTAAAATCTTGAGAGTAAATCATCATCTTTACATTTGACAGATTTACATTAGAACATCATTCTTCTTCAGAGAAGAAATGGTGAATGAATAGCATTACTTTGTTTCAGATCAGCAAATCATTTGTCTCTACAATGCCCCTACACAATGCTACTGAAATAAAGCAAGCTGTACTCTTCAGAGTCTTTGTTATCCCTCCTTGGCTATGCATATTTTGCATATTTTCTGAAAAAGGCTGGTTAAAAACATTAGCACCAGCTTAAAATGGGGTAGTCATGAACAGGAAGATTTAAAAACATGAAGAAAACCTTTTAGTCTTCAACGTATCCTAGCCAATTATTAAAATGCTGGGTGTGAAAGCATAATGCAAGAGAAATTTCTGTCAACTGAAACCCACACCATTCCACAAAATTAAGAAAAACAAACAACGCACAACAGATTGTCACATGCCTTGAGGAGAAGGGTGTAGGCCTAAAAAATTTAATATGTACATGAATATATCAAGCATTTGTTATACAGTTAGTCACATATTGTAAAGTAGTACTACTTTCAAAACCAGGAGGCTTTTTCCATTTTTTTTTTCCCTGGAATAACTTCAATCTGAACAATAAACCAGTGAACATACCTTTACAATGGACAGCAATAGCACCCTCAGCATTCTCGCAGATGTTCAAGAACCTCTGAACTATACTGTCGCTTGGAGTGCTTCCATCTATGAAGAATAGGTCAAAATGCTCAAAACCTGCATCAATAAAGCGCTTTGCCTCATAGATTTTTTTGTTTAGTCTTATGATTGATGTGATATTATGTTTCTTGAAATAGGGAAAGTAGGCTTCAGGTGCATGAAGAGGATAGCCTATAAAAAAAATTAAAGCAAAACAGCTTACAACAAATAAAACATTTCAGGTAATTACCAAAATCCCTCCCCAAACATCTTAAAGAATGTTAAACTGTTCTAATACTACAAATGGTTTACTATCTTATTCAAAACAATACACAGACATTCAAAACAAAACATAAATTGTCCATAAAATGCTATCATAAACACCTGCATAAAAATAAATAAATAGTGCATGATACATCTGAAGCATTACACAGTAACCTGCTTAGCTCACTGTCCTGGACAACTAGGAACTACTTAAGAACAGCTACTATCTACAAATCTGTAGATTCGTACTATCTACAAATCAATCTGCAGATCACAAGGCTCAGGAGGATACTTTAAGAGAAATTTCAAGGAGAAGCTAGATTGGTGATCTATAGCATAAACAAGAAGAGTAGCTGAAGAAAAGATATTTTGGAGATATTCTTCCTCCATCATGAAATWAAAAAAAGCCTTAGTGTCTTGATTCAGTGAAGACAGAAATGATTTTTTAAGAGTTCAGAAAGTTCAGTAGAGTGAAAATAAGGGAAACTAATGCTGTTATCAACAGACCTGTACTTTAACTACTACCTTTCCCCCCACACCTCGCTTTTTTTGTTCGTTTGTTTGGATAAATATTTATCTTTAGTCTTGCGAAGAAGCATGCAGCTTTATTACGAGACTCTCAACACATTTTCATTTACGTTTTTACATGTAGTGTCTTCAATTCTGAGTATTTATCATATCAGTGGTCTGGACCTATGTTTCTCTGGTGCATTGTCCCTAATGGAATGTCAAGGACTGTTACAGGAGAAATCTGGAATTTAGCTGTATGAGCTTATATAAAATACACTGCACAAAGATTTTTGAAGAATAAGCCTTCCCTAAGTCATTGCTTTTTGCTTATTTGCTATAAATATTTAACTTGTTGAAAATAAGACTGAAAAATAATATTAAGATGTGTATTAGCACAATGCAACGTACCATTTTCAATTTTGCTTTTTGGGTGTGGTCCACTAAATGCTAAAAATTTTGCTGGAATAATCCAGTTGAAGTCACCATTTTCTACTCGCTAGGAAAAATTCAGGAGAGAGAAAGAGAAAGAAAGGAAAACATTTTAATATCAAAGTGATTAACTTCAAAAAAAGTATTAAGCATGTTTAAAAATCCATTCTTACATGTAACACATATGGAAGAAGTTAACTCACCATAAGCTATTTTCCATAACTATGGCTACCCTCCCCATCTCAAGCCCTCATCTTTCATAAGATTTTCAAATAAAAGCAAAAAGATCCCATTACCTAAAATATTTCTCCCTGAGAGCATTCAGAATTTCAGTTATGAGCTCCTACTCATAACAGCACTGGTAAACACCAGTGTTCTTATATGTTTTAGTGAAGAACCTAGAAAAATGTACCAGCTTACAAAAAATAAATAAAAATAAAAAAGAGAGACCAACTAGCCTTCAAAACAATTATAATTTCCACATAGAAACAAGCTCACAGCTTGCCTTAGTAATCACAAAAACATACATATAAATCAGGTTAAAAGAGGGAAAGTGTTTTGTTGTTGGTTTTTACATGAAGCGCATTCATTCCTAATTTGGCAACGTACTCTCAACGTGACATTTAAGGACATGGCACTTGGATCTACAGCATTATGAAGCCTGGTGGTTTTAGTTCTCAGCACAAGTGCCCTAATGAGCAAAGGGTTCTGATAATGGACATGACTGTAGCCAGTTCATCAGCTTTTTGCCAACTATCCCCATTAGGCCTGTTCCCAACATCCTCACGTGGTGCTTGCGTAATGAGCAGTGACCTGACTCGCGCTGCCAAGTCAGAAAAAGGAAAAGAAAAAACAAACCCAAATTCCCCAAGCTTGCACTGGCAACTGCAGGCTCCGTAGATTAGCATCTCCCTCCCATTCCAATAAAAGTCCTGTTCAGCAAGTTAAAAAGCACACTTTTTTAAAAAAAAAGTTGTAAAGCTTGTTTGTATTTACATGAGTTGTGATAATTTTTTTATCCTATCTGAACAAGACACATTCAGCACTGTATATAAATGACACTGTTAAAAATTAGAGAAAAGACAGACACTGAGAAAATATTTTGCATCTAATCCAACAAAAGGAGAATTAGCTGCCTCAATATTGGAAGCCGAACTATAAATATGAAACTGAGTTTTCTGTAGCTTGCTCCCTTAACTCTTACAAAAGATTTTGATGACTATAAATCTCAAGGCCTAACACAGGAAACCCGAGGACATTTACACTTTTAGAACTATATAGCACAGGACATACCTAAACGTACAAAACTAATCTATATGTGTCTTGGAGGTAGAGAACAAACAATCTAACCACCAAGGACTATTACCGTAACTAGAAATCCATCTCAAATAATTAAATTAAGAATAACGATATGTTAAAGAACATCTATTACAATCAGTAATTACAGTACAAGCTTCTAAGCTATAAACTGTTTTTCCTCCATTTTTCTCATGCTTTTCCCCCTCTTTCTTGAGCATTTATAAAGCATTTCCTGCAGCCATGTGTGCTTAAGTGACACAAGTGAGAAATGAGTAGTTCAGTGTGTACAAACAGAACTGTTACCTAGCAAATACTATGTAGACAAGTAGGAGAGCAAGTATCCCTAAAACTTGCTAGGTGTTAGATACATTCAACTTAAGGTGACAAATTTAAAAACTGACATTTCCAGGCTAATGAAATACATTTATTTTCATCAATTCCAAGCTTTCTGGAAACACCAATAGAGGGGGAGTTGGGGAAGAATGGTTACAATTAAATAATTTTAATCTTTAAAAATACAGCATTTATTACATATTTAAATAATACATATCTACCCTGTGTATCCTTCTTGCTTACCAGTGCAATTACAAGGGTTTCTAGGAGTTCCAAGAAAAGTTTCAATACAACTAACGTGGCTATTTCTGCATTTATGAACCTTTTCCTTCCTTTGAGGTGCAGAAATGGTGGGGAAAGACCATGCAGCTCTTCCAGACCAGAGACGTAAACTCCCATCGAGCCAGGACTTCCTCTGGCCAGAGCCCAGATCATAGCATAGGGCTGCTTTAAAGATTCTCTGCAGCAACAGAGCTTGAAACAATCACCTGCTGCTTGACTACAGAGGCAGGACAACTTACAGGGTTTAGGTCTGCAAGTTACAGAACATGGTTCTAGAGACACCCAGAGCTTTTGCTCTTCAACGTTGGGCAGGCTGGCAGAGCAACAGACAACTGCTGTCAGCTTTTGGGGACTCCATTAGCAAGACATTTCGGATGTATTTTCACTACTACAATCTCCATATAATAATACTGAAAGAGCTCAGAAATTGCTGAACTTACCTACCATCAAAAAAAGTTTCTATATTTGAGGCTAATAGCACCTTAAGAAGCAACTATGCAAGCCCGAGGCAGCTATGCTGTTCTGTACATCAGCTAAGAGATTTTTTGTCATGATACTGAGATTTTCTTGAGTCATGATATATCAGAAAGGCTAGGAGGAAAAAAAGCTTAATTTCATTATAGCATGAAGGCACTTAAATAGCAAGAATTCAGATACTCACCTTTCATGCACACAGCTTGGTATTAGTATGAAAGCTGCTAGGAATATCTAACCAAGAAAAAATTGCTTTTGTGTGCATACATTATATACAAACATTAGTTTTTACTTGAATTGCAGTGTTTTTCTAGTATGTTTTAGGTTGTGGGAAACTGGGTATTCCAACTCATTAAGTAAACTAAACATATTTAATTCAATATTAGATATACAAACCTCATAGTGTTCATACTCATCCACATCAAATGTCTTAAAGTCAAAAAATCCATGCTGCAAGGCCTAAAAGGCAACAAGGGGTCAGTTTATTTTTAGGTATGACATGTAATCCCTGTTTATAATACTGTTCTTGATAAGCAAAACTAAATAATTACAGGTACAAACATTAAGACAACATTAAATTTTACACAGAGGAACAACACAGACAAAACACTACAACAATGGCAATAAAGCATCTCAGTTTCCTTATTACTCCTCCATAAAGATGTTAAGATGGGGCATAAGTTTGCAGTCTATTACTTAAATCATAAAATTGACTCTCTCCTGAATGTGCTTTCTAAAAAGGCAGATTATAAAAGTTAAAAGCAATTCCCTTTTTGTTGTATACTCAATCTTTTTTCTTTAAAATGCTGAATCCATTTTAATGCAGTTGGCCTTACAACAGAAAATTAGTTTTATATTTTGAAATACGATATTCAGATGTTATCGTCATAATATTCAGGCAAAATGGCATAAGATCACAAGATAGTGGCTATACATAGTATTGTAATTTCTTCTTAATATTTTCTAACATAACTCACTAATAGAATGAAACTAACATGACAAAAGATTGACTAAAGAACTTAAAGTTATGTACTGTACTTGATTACTGCACTATGAAATATTGCAAACTAAATATTTGCACATAATCATCTTAAGAGCTAAATTATGAACTGCACAAGTTTCTTCTATGGACTAGGTGAAGTAAATTTCTGCAGCATATATTTACACCAAGTCTGCCACATTCTGAGAAGTACAGACATTGCACAATATTGTGGGATTGGGTGTGTTGAAAACAGACCACATACCTATCATTTCAAATAACATTAAAAATTGCCACTTTTTGCTACACATTTTTTTTTTTTTTTTTAAAGGGGCAGAACAAGAAGAATTTCCTTATAAGTGACACAGGCTCAATATTGAACTTGCCATAAAAATAAAGATTCTGAAAGGTTGGTTGGGAAAGCAGGTTTAGAAAACATGTCTTGCTGGCCATACCTCAAAATTGTCTCAGTCACTGGAATTACATGTATGGTGATATATGCACACATGGCAAATTTACACAGATAACCCAAGATTTTACTTTATGAGAAGAGATGGTTTCTATTGGATGTGTTTTTATTTCTATAGGTAAATTGGGCAAAAAAGTCAGTATTAAATTTAATGGGAAAAAGAATGATTTACAGAGTTTTTTCACATGTTACAATAAGTTACTGTAAATTCACAAGCGTTTAAGATCTGTAAAAAGCCTCACAAATTAATAGTAGTATTTTTAAYTAGCAGCTCCTTTCCTGCCCACATAGGATTAAAAATATTGAACATAAACTGCTATGTTCCAATTTTTAAAAAAATATTTGTCAAGTTAAGAACTTTAAGTGGTCCTTAAAAGATCTACTTGTACAAAAACACTTAATAATAACCTTCCCCCTTCATCAAGATTACTGCAAAGTTAAATGAGCAAAATTTGATCCTTGCCTATAGTATGAAGTACATACTAAAATAAGAATTGTCAATTCTTATGATGGGCTGTAAGATTTTTGAAAAAGCAACACAAAGTTAATTTTCTCCAGGATCCCCATCATGATATAATGTATTTGGCAATCTAAATTAGCTTTTAAACAAACTTTTTTTCAGTTTTAGTTTTCCACATTGTGCAAAAAACACAGTTGGAATTTGTAAGACTGAGAGAATGCAGTGCTTTCATTAGTAGCCAACTTGCTTAAGTGACATACCAAAACACTAGTAAAGTTACATTAGTTTCCCTTCTTTTTAAGCAGTTTTGTAAAGATTAGTGTATCAAACACCTTAAATACGAGACCAAGTAGGGGCCAGAACTGCATGAAAATTGTGCTCAGATTAAATCACAAGAACCTCAGGTGAGACAGACATCTGAGATATTAACCTACGTTCCTCCCCACCATCAATGTTTAAACACTATTTATCAGCGTATCGAAGGCACTATCTTGGCCTCCTGGCCTGGGAGCCCCACCCCAGCACCCGGGTGTGTTTGCATGTTGGAACGTGGCAGGTGAACTTTGGAAATCRGCAGGAGCTCCATGCCAGCTGGGTAAAATGTCACCTTCTCCCMCTGTCACAATTCAAAACACAGGTCTCAGTAACTTAGGCTTCATGGCAGCTAGTTATTAGCTATATACTAGTTATTCACACACATCCTGCTTTGAATGCATATTTTTGTATGTATTTAGAGTATTTTGCCTCATTATTTTAACAGCTAACTTAAACCTGTTTGGCTAAGCAGAAGTGTCATTACCTTATTTATTCCCTGTAAACAGTCCAAGATCGTGAGATTGTATGTGCAGTTCCCGAATGAAGCATCCCTATAAGTTTGATACAAATTAAACATACACAACATTATTTTTAATAAATTGGAGAAAGAAAGCACACAGTATGTTCTTCAAGTTATTCAATCCCATACAAGTCCTATGAATCAAAGTTCAAAGATGACATCTCTCTGCACTCAGCTAYGATAAAGCCCTCAACTAGAGAGGCTGCAGCTCAGTGTAAATAAATGCCATTAGAAACTGCACACTGATTTAGGTGCTCCTGTCCTAGCAAAAAACAAACAAACAGGCAGCTTTGCAGCCTCAGCTGCACTGTAATGACAGCAAAACTTCCYTAGCTGCTACGTTTTAACCAAGTTGAACTGTCTAACAGTGGAAGGAGAGCAGATCACTAACGTGGCTGTCACTTGGAGGCTCTCACTCCAATGCCCGACCGTAGAGGTGATTTGAATTAAACCAGATACAAGGAAATAGAGGATTCTTCTGACCTCCATTTTGCCACTAGGGAAATAGCATAATTTCTCTTTAAAGGATGAGASGGTTTTGCAAAAGCAAGACAATCAGGCAGTGTGAGACCTCAAACCACACCTACACAGCAAGTGTACTGTGGAAAAATGAAAAAGTTTATTTTTTAATTAAAATGCTTAAGGCCYGTTTGTATTTTAACAAAAATCCTGCCTTGGCAGGTTGTTTTCAAATCACTCACTGATGAAATCTCTTATAATTYTGCACTAAATGATCTTAATCAGAATGCAAAGACCTCCAGTTTATCAGCTCTGCAGTGTTTTAATCAAAATCACCTCAAATTCTCAGGACAARTCAGATCTCAGTAATGCACAATTGACTCAAGTGAATCTTACAATTCCTATTACTTGGACTGACTCCATAGATAGTCTTTTCAATTAACCAGTCTTCACAAAGTGTATTGAATAACAAAGTTGAAAGCTACAATTTCTTTGTAGTTGTCATATTATGGACAGGCCAATCCAGACCAGTTATTCATTACTAGCTATTCATTACGAAATACTCATCTACAATATCATAAAGTGAACATTTTAAAGTGTAAATACTTCTTTAAAAAACAAATCTAACAGGAAGGTTTCAAAAATGTAAAGCAGAAAGTATTTTAACACAACATATCTGTAAGATACTAACTTATTAAATTTGACAGAAAAAAATGAGGAAACAGATCATTGTGGCACAAAACAACTTCAGCAAGGCAAAATTTCTTAAAATTCTTAAAGATGGAAAGGGGAATATGTGTCTAAAAAAAGCTTTAAAAGCTGTAAATAGTTTTATGAGAGGGTTGACAGAAGTAACTTTATGGAGAAATACAAASGGAAGGTACAATGATGGCTGACTGTTTTAGATGTTATTTTTGATGCAGTAAGAATATAATTTTGATCCTTATTCATATGAACATAAAACTACTCCTTTAACATATAAAATATCTGATATTACAATATATAATACAACACAATACTGGGGTAAAAGGAAAAGCCATGTAAAGCAATAGGAGTTGCTCTAAAGGAGGGAAGATATAGAATTTGACCCAGATGCACTACTGCACGTTCAGGTGCGTGGATTTTTAGTTACGAATTCACATTTGACAATACAAAGTCATACAAATTTACATTTCCAGAGCTCCTATCATTCAGAGCAGCACCACGAAATGGGTATCACTGAGCAATCATTTCACAGGCGCCACCTTCCTGCTCATGCTCAGTGAGCACCACATCATTGGCAGCCAACACCTACAGCCCACGTGAAGCCTCGTATGTCTTATTGCCATTGCTGCACACACAGCCATTCAGGCASGGGGGCTCTAATGAAAGAGACCAGCTCTGCTAATCCACAGCATCCACGCACAGTAAAACAACAGAAAAACAAATAAGAACCAACAAAAGTTGGGAACATTCCCAAGAGGCAGAACTTTAGATGAACAAATAAAATGGGTGACACCTAATGCCAAATATCTAAAAGCTCAAAGAGCAGTCATATGTAGAGGTGTTTTATTTAAAAACAACACAAAAAAAACAACTACTACTGATCAGGCAACTGAGAAACTCAAACCTCCAAGTACYTTTTGGTAAAGGTGATGATGCTGTGAAACAATAAGCTTTAGATATGGGTGACAGTAGAACACAAAGATGATCACGCTCTTGGAAAAACTATAATAAATTTTGATTATATTATAATCAGACTTGGCATAATCTCTTTCTTCCCTTAATTAATAAAAAAATAATAATTGAAAAACAAGTAAATGGAGCAAAATCTACACAAGTTTTTAAGGTTCTTCACAGTCATTCAGTTTTTTGAGTTCTCAATCCTTTTCAAGAACATTTTTCAATTTCCAAAAATTCAGCTACCTGCTTAGAATCAATTCCAGATGCAAATTCCTTTCTGAAACTTTACTATTTTTTTACTTCAGACTTTTAAAGCTAAAGTATCTCCAAGGATTAAGTTGAAGTGAATAAAAAGGCTAGAAGAAAAATAAGCAAAGAGTTAATCTTGCAGAATTCTCATGTATAATCAATCAGGACCCCACATGCTGTTACCACTTCACACTGTAGCAAGATATCCCCAGAACAATCTTACATAGCACACATCTCAACAGCTACAATACATACCAATAGTAACCAGTCTCTCTCCGTCTCAAATGCTTTTTGCTAAATTGAGAGGGGGAAATCTTAGTACTTTTTAGTTTTAAAATCGTGTACCAATATAGTTCATATTAAGACTAAGGCTCACTTAAAAAAAGTGACAATATTGGTTATTTTAGGAGGAGAAAAATCGGACCATAGTAATCCTGATATTCCGTTTTAGATTAGCCTGTGTTTAAAGGTTGACTCTAAAACTTAATTTGAAACAAAGAAAAGCTACCTCTGAAAGTGTCACTTAATCCCATCATTCCACATCACCCAACTCACCTCTGTGCCTATTCAAGAAGCTGTATTAAAAACTTGAAACCTAGAAAGTATCTTTTATTGTTCCCATCTCTGCACTTACAGTCAAGATCCAGGAAGAATCAAGTGCAGCCCAGGGAAATGCTGGTGAAAGCCGTATTTGAAAACAAAACCCAAGTTCCCAGTTTTCAGAAGACACAGCAAGCAGCAGGATTGCAGCACATGGCATAAGTTATAGGAAGAAATGTTATTCCACTTTTATTCCACTTTATTCACCTAAGTACTAAAACAATTTTAAAAAACAGTAGTAATCCACTTCTCAAGTGATGCTTTTTATACTCAATCTATTAAGTAGATGATTTCATGCAATTCCAGAAAGAGTATTGAATTCCTTTAGAGTTTAGTCAAACATCATTTGCATAAGTACTATTCAGATAGCAGATGCTTACTGCTGCTCTTACAGCTAATCTCCTATCTACAAGCGCCTCCAAGTTCTCCACAGACAAAGGTTAAAGGTTTATCTTGAACCAATTTCCTGAATGTTTTAAATGATCTGAGCAAAGTACTTCTGACAAATATTTTTCTTTAGAGGAAATTTAGTCACCGTTTTGATTCTTTGCTAAACACAGAAAGCCAAACAAAAAAGAAAAGCTTCAGAGTATCTAGAAGGCAACCTCACTCCAGGATAAAGTGATCAAGCTGAGGTAAGCAGCCTAAAGAAACCTCTGCTTTTCCATCACGCTGCATGTCATGATGTCAGAAGTCATTAAGAAGCTCTATTAAATATTTATAAACCATGATCTTGTTTTCTGAATCCTAAAATTCATGCATTTGGTGGAAAAACAAAGAATTAGGAAGTAATGCAGAAGACCTGCCTCTGCTTCATTGTTCTGTGTATCAATCTTTCTTGCTACTAATTTTATGCTACTTTTCTAGATGACGGATAAAAACAAAAACAAAAAAAATCCACCCACATACAGCTGTCAGAACTAGTTCCAATCTTCACAAAAATTCTGCTAGAAATACAGTTATAGAACTGTTTGAACACCAAAGGGCCTTGGAGTCAATTAGTCAGTAGCGGAACATTAGCATGAATTTCCTTGCTCCTAAAGACAGCTCTTTTAGCATTTTGGAGCAATAACCAATAATTAGCAAGATTAGTTTTTAAGTTTTGATAGCATGTGAGAGATTCCAACTGAACCACTTTATACAAAAAYAAAATCAAATAYACTGAACAGAGTTTAATGAAGAAAGGTCCTTTAAGTAAAGAAATATTTTTACTGACCTCACAAAAACAGCATTTTGGGTATAGCTGAAATTAAATCCAGACAYTCTTCCTATATAAACTTATTATTTTCCCCTGTCCATAGTCAGCATTTCACTRTAAAAAATTTATGTTTGTGCTTAGGTTTAAGAGAAGAGTCAGTTTTAACTTGCTCCAACCATTGATGCATGCATGACGAGCTAGGGCTGTGCTTTTAGTGACTGAAACACAGCTGGCCAGATCCTCCTGTCTGATCAACTCTGAAGTCAGTGCTAAAGGCTGAGAAGAGAGGCTGCCTCAGGCGATACTGGCATACTGGAGCCCGTGCAGACATCTGCAGAGCTTTACAGCAGGGCTGCTCCGATTTGTTACCAACCACACACGTCATTCCAGTAGCCTTTTAGCTCTGTACTAGCCAAAYGCTTCACCCTCTTGTTCTTTAAACTGCATTTTTACTAGCTGTTATTTGACATATTTTGAAACTAAATATAAAGTGAGAAAAAAAAGTGAGTATCTGTGCACTACAGATGGAGTATGAATCTGAATTGGTATTAGAGCTGCAAATCCCACATCAGATTTCTGTCACCGTAGCTGACCTGAATACTGCAGAAGGCTTTCAATACAACACATTCAACAACAAAATAATTTGCTTCCCCAGCTTCTGCAAAAGAGTCACCCCACCTTCAAACTAAAATCTAACAAGTTAGTGTCATATTTAGAGATTAAACACTAAAACACTAAATATCTTTAATATAAAAATCAAAGTTGCTTGAGGCAAAAATCTAAAACTTAGTTTTATAATAGGAAAGAAGTATTTATCAATGTTTAAGTTAGAATTAGTGCTGTTTTATTATGTGGAAGTAAGAAGATACAATACAAGGTCTTCAAGAAACTACATGTTGTCACTACAGAGATGGTGAATCAGCCATAAGATAGATGGAAGTGGTCCAAAGACAGGAATAATCCTTTAGGTGCCTGGTTTGTCTCATATCTTTTATTATGAAAAAGAAAACAAACAAAATCTCCCCCACAATGTTTTCCATATCTGGGTAAGGCATGTGTTCCGCTTTTCATCCACTCCTGAACAGTATTTACTGAAGCAGTCTTTAAATGAAACGCAGCTGAAGATCTAAGCCGATTAAAGCCTTTTGAGGTCACCAAGCTAGATAAAGCCAGATCGGTTTCCTAGTGATCACTTCATGTAAACATACCTCAGTGTCCCGAAAAGAATCCACCCATCCTACCCCTTCTACCTATTAAAAGCTATTTTTCTCCAAAGGAAAGATACTTCAGACATCTAAGTAACAAAGTTCTAAATAATCTAGCTCAACCCTTGATCATTACACACTGATAAGCTTAGACTTATGCTTCCAGTGTTACTTACATTACTCCACGCTACATTACACTTTAAACAGAGATGATCTATACTAGGAAAATCTTACAATGTTCAAGTTCTAGGTCCATGAAAAGGAAGAGGGGAAAAAAAATCAAGTCAGTAGGTACTGAATACCAACAATTGATAGTCCAAATTATTTGAATTATTTCCTTCCAAAACATTAGAAGTGAAGGGTTAAGGTATCTGGCTTATACTTTTTCATTGCATACAAGCATCATTTTAGTCCTGCTCAAGACACTAGTAATGAAGGGAGCAGAAACTTCCTTCTAGCACCAACTTGTTTCCTCACAGTATAGATTGATGCAAAGCCCCRAAGTGGCGAGACAGCTCCAGTGACAGACAGATTCAGTTTGAGCCCCTGTATCTTGCTCCATTTTGCACTAAATGAACCTAAAATGTCTTGGAACAGACAGGAGAAAGTTATCTTTATCAGTCAAGAGTCCTGAAAAAAYGGGCAAAGAAGAGCAAGTTATTTCTTCCCCGTGATCAGCTAATTCTCCCACTGCAGGTCCTCATCAGATCTCCTTGCCCTCCTCTCACCTCACTAATTCCTAAGCTCCTTAAGTAGCTATTTGTAACCTCTCCCTATGAATTCAACTCCCAAATATCCCCTCCCCATGAGATTCCTTAACTGGCTTCCTATCGTGCCAGACTTCCAGTCTTACTCCCTCACTCCTGTTTACCTCACCTGCTGTACAGCCAGCCTGGGCAGCTTTCCTTCCCAGCAGGACAAGCAGATAACAGTGTGGTTAGGCTCTAAGCCAGTGTCAAGATCTGGCACAGTCCAACGCAGCTCCAAAAGCAGCTTACGAAGCACTTCCAGCTCCACGTCAAGTAAGAGTAGTAAGAAGAAAAATCCTGCCCTCCCAGCAAGATGCCATCAACCTCTCCTCGTGCTGCAAACCTTAAAATAAGGCTGAGTTTTTACAGGAAGTAAAAAGTGAAAGCAAGCCCCATAAAGTCATATATACATTAATCCAAGTTTAAATATAATTTTGCCAACAAATCATTTGTTAATATGGCCATTACACAAATATTTCCGTATTTCAAGCTGCAAGGTTGGTCTCAAAGACAACCTTATGGCTAACTTCTACATTCCAGAACATACTCTTTCACTTAAGCGTGCTTGAAATCAAAGAAAAACACTGCAAAAAGTCCCRGTTCTGACAAGTACTGCAGGTTTATCAGCAGCACCAGCCAAAGTGGGAACTCCTGCATCGTGCCTGTGGAAAAGCCAAGCAAGCCACTTCAAGCAGCAGCTTAAGTTAGGACTCCAGTTTCATGGGAACATGGCATATTTGACGCTTTGTTCTGCAAACAGCCATAGAAGTAGCAATCCCCTCAGACCCTAATGTCTTAAAGAGCTGATGTTTGCCAAAATGAATGCAACTCAGAAGCTGGAGACAAGAACATGGGCATTAAGACATAWTAGAAGCAACACACTAAAGAGAGATTACTGCTCAAAGAACCTTTTTGTCATACAGTGCAGCATAAAACTAAATCTATAGATAGCAATTTTACAGATTTSTACACTGTGTATACTTAACATTACCTGCTAGAAGGTTCTCTTGATTGACCTCTTATTCCTTCTGGTTTTGGGTTTATGTATAATTAAATATTCTACTAATATTATTGCTCTAATTTTTTCATATCAGATTGGAAGATGGATGTCAAAAGAGATTTTTATTTTACACATACAAGTTTTATTTCTGAAACATCTTTTCACTTTCAACACCTACTCCTTTTTGCACGTTAGCTCTGGAGAAGGAAAAAAACATTTAATAAAGAATAAACTAAGGACCACCTCTGTCCTGAGTCAGACATGATATTCTAAAATTCAAGATTTTAAAATAGAAAGATTCTATATTTGTTGTGCAGTAGAATTGTCCTGGAAGCTTATCTTTAAAATCCATGAGTTTTCATAGTTGGGTTACAACAGTCCATAGCACTGTGGGCAGATTTGAGAAAATCTGAAAAACARCTTGTGACCATGGATAATATTTATTGCTTTAAAGAAATCTGACACCATCAACTGATCGCCCAGCAACCTGCAGCTTGGAAAATATAGGGAGAGAACGCAGGAGAGCTTTAAATATCAAATACTGCCTACCTACTCTGCATATATCTGTCACAGAGTCATTGCTCTCTTCCCCTGAAGCTGACAAACTGCATGAACAATAYACTTTTGTAACAGTTTTGATGACCCAAATTTCATAAAATCAAATAGTCCCTTTACTGAACATTGCCTTCCTCAATACTTTCAATTAGTATCCTCTCCTTTGGGTAACACAATGTTCTTATGAAAGCTATTTTTAGAAATTCTTCATTTCTTAAATTTCTTTGAAATCCTCCTTTGCTGCCGTGGAGTAGCAGCTTTTTTTTCTTGAAATAGAGTTTTGTGACTTCAGGCTTAGAGGRTTTACACTTTATTATTAATAATTAACACTGGGAAAAAAACTTCCTGAGCATTAAATGGGTTAAGGTGTTTTTTCAGTTTCAAAGGAAATCAGAAAACCAACTGCTTTCACCACTCCCTTCCCTCCTCATATAGGTAAAGTCTGCTGAAAAAGCCTATCTCTGTATTGGTGTTTTCCCCACCACAACAAGAGGGGCAACTGCATCTTCCTTTGCTGTGTGGCCTTGGTATCAGCTAAAGCTTTTGCTTTAAGCAAGGTAGGTCTATGTTTACAAAATAAGCCAACAGCAAAGACCACTTTTAAAAAGCTGACTTTCCTGGTAAAAGAGGATCTTCATCTACTGGCAGTTGTTTTGGAAGATGTAACCTGTGCTTTTAACAAGAAAAGCATGAGGATTTTGGTTCCTAAAGYAGAGGGGCATTTCATGGTCCACACCATGAAGAAATCTGAAAGTCTCTTTATATGGGCATGACAGATAAATCTCCTTAGATGGAAAATGCAACACAACTGCACTACTGGCAGGACAAATAACCAGAAATTTCTGGCATTGGTCGCTCAGAAGGTCAAAGTAGCTTGAACTTCAGTACCCTCTATAAGAGAATATAGAACAGCCAAAGAAACCCTTTGTTCATCTAAGTCAATTTGTTTAGCTCCTAGCTAACATGAAAGATTAAGAATGACTTCTAAATGTTAAARCAGAACACATCATGAAGGAAAATTTTAATTGATAGATCAAACTTAAAATGCTTAAATGCTAAAATAAACTTAAATGCTAACAACAGTTTTCTAAACCAGAAAGCTTTCAAGATTGGCAATCTTACTAACAACCAAAATGGCTTTAATACTCCACAAAGTAATTTCATCCAAAAATGAATGTTTTGGGAACTAGTCATTTTGATACAGTGTCGATGCCATTTTCTAGGAAGGAAAAAGAATCTAAAATAATGTTTTTGTATTTAACAAATTCCAAAATGTCAAATTCCAAATGTCATTTAGCTACATACCTAAATGGAAGATATGGTGGATTAGATCCAGATACGAGTATCCTGTAAGCTTCTTCTGGTGTTTTCTTCAAGTATATTACCTAAGAAAAAGGAGCAGGGGGGAAGAGGAGGGAAAAACAAAACATCAGTTCCGTGCCTGAAAAATCATTACTTGTGTACATATTCCTGCTAAACTCTTAAGATACTCCTCTATGATAAACTTTTATGTCATTTACGAGAGAGAGANAGAGAGAGAGAGAGAGAGAGAGAGAGAGAGAGAGAGAGAGAGAGAGAGAGAGAGAGAGAGAGAGACCCCCCTACACTAAGTAAAAACTTGAACAGAAGTCAGACAACAAACACTTTGTATAAAATCGCATATTGCTGCAGCTGAGAAACACTAAGATTGATTCACTACCATGCTTAAATGAAAAACAGGTATCTATACTAGGAGATCTTTGTCTAACTTCAAACTAATTCAAAAGAAGTATTATCAAAGCAAACAACACAAGAAATATTTCTCCACAACACCTCGCTGGAAACTTTTCTAACACAAATATTTTCCACTTCTTAATGATCAATATCAAGCCTGTTATTAACAAATCAATGATGGCCAATGCAACAAGGTTCAACAAGCTAAACCTGTTGTTATACAAGATCAACCTAATAGTAAAGGTAGCACCATAAGCCAAGGCTTATTCCACTATCACTTAGCACTACCAGCTGCACGAAAAGAAATTGGAGCACTGCAACATCATGCTGCAAGTCCAATTCTTATTTGCACAAGAAAACCAATCCTAAAGTATGCCTAACTTCAAATGCAAATTAAACAAGCACATTATTTATAAAAAAAAATGTTTCATCTAGTTTGAAGTGAGATACTTAATGTACATAAACATGTGAACAAAGCCACAGAGTTTTCCTATCTACTTCTCCAAGACACCCTGAAGCCAGCATCTTTATCTCTGTTTTTCAACTCTGTACATACTTACCTATTGAAAAAAATACATAATTGTTACTTTCTAAGACAGGAAATAGATTAACTCCAAAATCAAAAGCTTTATTCACCTCAAGTATTTTTGACCTCAAGTACATTAGCATACAGGTATGCAGTGGTCACTGCCAAAGTACCTGTAATTTTTTTTGTTTTGTTTTTTAAACATCTTAAGTAATATCTTAAGTTAAAGAATTCTCATTATTTTGCAAAAAATTTCATCTACTCTTTTCTGTCATCTTACATTTYTCCTCACCCATAGACAGGAAAGACAAGGAAAGAATAAAGCAAAAGCAGTTTAACTAAAGTTATAGAATAAACTAAAAGGTTATTTGCTTTGTCACAAGGAAAAGAATTAATCAACAAAAATCTTGATTAATGCTAACATTAATGTCAATTAGCTACTTAAATTTAAAACCCAAGTTACTGCTTACAAATTCAAAAGATTGCCTTACAGGGTAATGCAGAGAATGTAAGGGAGGGATTCCAGCTTTAACAGTTACCTAAGTAAGGGGCGGAGGGGAAGACAATAAGAATGCTTCGCACAAACTGCTGAAGTTTGTTTCACAGAAAAACTGGAGGACCTCAAAGATTTCTGCCCAAAAGCATTAATAGGTGAAAATTTTTACCAAATACTGTTAGTTGTTCATTTACATACAAAGCTCCTAACAGACACCTGAAAATAGAAATGAAGATGTTAAGAACATAGGAAGGAGATGTAAAGGAACACTGAAAAAGCTCTTAGAAAGAAAAAGTATTCTTGAGTTCTACAACATTGAAGAACTGAAGGAGGAAGAAGCTTATAAAGGAGAAGGAAACATCATAGCAACATGTCCTCTTTAGTACTTAAACAGAAGTGAACCCATTAAGAAAAATGCAGGAGATAGTCTTCTGACTCATCTTCATAGATGAAAAGAAAAATATAGCTTTTTTGCTTGATTTTAATATGTTGAGTCTTCAGAATGCTCTTATTCTACAACATACAAAAGTATAAAAGACAAACCTGTATCAAATCTAGAAATTTAATCTATATCTGAAACACAAGTGAGTAAAAGTTAAAAAGTGTCACTTTGTGGACAGCAAGTCATTTTACAACCGGCAGGCTTCCCCCTCTCACCAGGACTGTGACTCTCACCACGTGGCTGCTACCTGCAAAAAGAGCTACACCCAGTGCCGCAAATCGAAATACTTTCTCGCTACGGCCTTCTTGCTTTTTCTTTCTCAGCTTCCTGCACGGGTAACGGATTGAAGGCAAAGCTCACCACTGCAGAGGCACTACACAGGCATAGGACATGCAGCACTCATACAGTGCGCCAAGAAAACACATACCGCTCGTTCCAAGAAGTTCAGAGAAGAGAAAGGGAAGTCAGTATTTTGCAAGCCTGCCTGAGCACTCGCCCACAACGCTCCAAATACAGTTTGCATGTGCATAGCTCCCACCCCTGCCTTCTGTTTTCTCATCAAAATTACACGGAACAAATCCCTTCCCTAATGCTGTTATCACCAAGACGATGTGAAGCAACTCTGCAATAACCTGAAAAAAAGATGTTTTCTCTGATAAAAATCTACAAACTTAGAAACTTGACAACTTTGCCTTTTTAGTGGCTTTAAGGAGCCTAATAAAGACATTAGTGCCAAAATAGATACTTAAAATAAACCCTGGAAAGGAATATGACCAGCTCATTTGCTATCTGCAAGAGAAAGAGTTTGCTGGATCTCTTTCCGGAGTTTATCTAAGGTTTTACAGCATTAAATGCTTCRCCCGGGCTACTCAATGTCAGGCTGTAGTCCCTGAATCAACTTGTCACCTTTGAAGAACACAGTGAAATAGATACCGCTTGTCTTCTATGACAGGACAGAACCAAAGCTCTAGATTTGCCAGCAGGAGCACAAGTCCTAAGAAAGTGAAGTGTGCAGCTGGGGGCACAAGCTGCAACCTGCCGGGCACTGCACATCCCATCAACCCCACAGCGTGGCTCCTGTTTCCACCCGGGAAAGGAACAGCAAAGGGCCCAGGAATGGGGAGAGGGATCTCAACCCTAGCAACATTCATTCTGCTAGGCACAAAATTATCATCTTTTAAAAATTCAGTTTAAAGTAAGGGGAGGAAGGAAGTAATCCTTGCAGAGTTCTTAATTAAGAACTAGGAAATTAATTTAGCAGCTGCAAATGATTAGCCTAAATGCATTTAAAGACTGTTGTAAAAAATGAATTTTAGAAAATACATCATCCCGAGATTCGATTAACAAAGAGACAAGGTGTTGCAAATATAGTTTTAAGACTTAGCCTTCTCTTGAACTTATGACTCCCAGTAAGGTTTTTTAATAGCCATTAGGATATTTCAGTTCAACATGTATAAGAAGCTGTTTAATGGAAAAATCTAAATTGCATAATTACCACTGGAAACCAATTCCTAGAACCTGATCCCTTGTTTTCCACGTTTCATTTTACACTTAATATTTTAGCATCAGGACAAATTAAACAAGCCTTCTCTGGAGAAATTAAACCTCCGCAATCATTTTTACACTCCTTAGTGTAATTCAAAGCTGTAAGACTTTCTGGTCTCAAAGTTTATAAAATTAGAAGACATATGTAGAAGGCTCAAAAAGATTACTTCATTTCTTCAAATCAGAGGCTACACTGTAACATAACCCAAGAATTACACATCTATGCCACAACAATCCGACAATTACAAGCAGAATATTGTTAAATGAAAATATTATCTCCCAAATGTGCAATGAATATGCTTGGACTGCAAAAGCTAAGCTTCTATTAGTTAAAAAAACAGATTCTATGCAGTTCCTAAATTAATAAGCATTTGCTCTAAAATAATTTATCTGCATTGTTACAAATTATTATAGAAGAATGTGATTATTCCATAACACTTGCAGACTTGGGAATAGGCATCTGTAGAAGTAATTAGGCAATATATTGGATATCTTTCTAGATATTAAACTACTACTCAATGTTTTACTAAACTGATATAAAACAGAAAATGACTATATTCCATATAAACGTGTTTGCTTTGTGAGTGTGCTCATACTGTCTAGTGTTGGTAGCACTGATGCAATAATTGCTCTTTACTACATGAACAGCTTCTAAGAGTCAGAAGGCACTTAGGACATCTACAAGCTTCTCCAGGAGAGTGACTGCATCAAATGCACAGATGCTCATTGCCCTGTATGCTAGCAAGCAGGAGCTATGAACACTAGCACTGGCTAAACACAGGTTAAACATGCATGCAGTTGTGGCAACAGCACTTTGCCTTATACACACAAGCTCCCTTCTCTGAGTGTAATGTGCTGCCTTTATCTGCTACATGGTACACACACTGCACGCTCCCACCCAGCTTCCCGCAGGAGAATTTCTCCTCCTCCTCCATCACCACCACTGTGTTCCCTTATCCTTACCTAGGGCTGCTGAGCAGCTCATTCGATACACAGCATTACCTATGGCTTTGCCTTAAGTATTTCCCTAGAGAAGCATCCCTTAAGATGTTACTTCACACAAGACAAGCATTGCTGAAGGAAGGTTAGAAGGATCCACGTGGTCAGTGGTACTTACAGCATATGCCCCTATTAGGAACGCTGCATTTGCTCGTTTCCGCTGGTCAAAACTGGTGTAGTAAACTATTTTCTTTCTTGACAGACTGAAAGACTGAGAAGCAAGTACAAACAATTAGCACATTTAAAGTGTGTTCATCTCTCAGTAAAATGTCACTTTTCAGAAAGTTTTTTGAAAAGTCACTCAAAGTAACTTCATAAACTTTATAGAGTCAGAGCCTATTCAAAAAGCTGATTGTGTACGTGAACAGCCCAAGACAAAACTAGGAATGGAAAAAGTTAGTAAATGCTTGTGGCTCTTCTTTCTTTAGACAGGAAGAAAACTTCCATCAGCATGTCCAGACAAAGCTCCCAATAAAAAACAAGTCCAAACATCCACCCGAAATGTGCAATAATGGCAGACTGCAGCAGAATTATTTAAAACCAGAGGAAGCTAGAATTATGCCACTTAATGACAAGTTGGACAGTTTATCCCAATCTTCCCTTTACTTTACAAATTGCTGTACTTTATACTACACTGGATTAAGGTTCTGAGTATGTGAAGGCAATTTACAAGTTGTTCAGCATTTTCTGGCCTGTCTTTATTCTCATACTACTGGTAACTCAGCTTCAGTTCTTTAACTTCTATTTTATGTTCATTTAATTTCTTTTCTCGGCACTGATGACATTTGTGGGGTGGGAAACTGCTATAGGAGTGTGCGTTTTAGTATAAAAGTTTGTGCCAACCAYATCTTGCAGAAATTCAGACACTGATTCTTATCTTACATGTTCATGCAAATTTTAAGCCAGAGCTGCAGAAGTTACTATTGAAATTAGTAATTAGTACTTGGTGTTAATAAAAGCTATAGAGAATTCACTCTTTGTACCTTAATCTTTTCCCCAAAAGAAACAAGTAGCTGATAATCACAGAAATCAATGTATGCATTATAATAAATACATCCTTACATTCTCCCCCCTACAAATAGCCCCTTCAACAATCATTTTAACTGTACATTATAAGCTTGTCTTCCCACCCACTGCCTCAGTAGGTGGATAAAAAAAATCAGAATTGAAGTGATGCTACTGAATGCATCTAAATGGGACTAGAATCCCCCAGAAGAGATTCACTGTCATTTAGAAGAGGTCATATCTTGAGATAAAAAGCAGCATCTCCCTCTGTGTAGGCACAACCAATAGAACTTAGGTAACCAGTTAATTAGGGAATTATTCATTTACTATTAAACCTGAAAATTAATTACAATAGTTTAAAACCTCTTCTTTCCTCATTTCCTTTCAGCACCCTACTGATTTTTCTACCACGTTTAACAAGCTAGGTAGATCTAGTCTTAGATTATGTTCAATTACATCAAGAGTTAATTTTTTTTCTTTTTTCTTTTTTCTTTTTTTTTTTAAAGTAGCTATTTTATACGGCTCCATCCAAATGATGCAATCTTGAACTCCCTTAAATATTTTGCAGCTCTGCAACTCTGAAAGGCAGAGGGGCAGAGGGCAAGGGAAAAGGAAAAAAGGAAAAAAAAAGAAAAGCTTGTCAATAAGGAAGTCTGCAATGAGGTTTATTTAAAAAATAGCTACAGTTAATGTAGTAGGAAGTAACCCAGGGCTAACTTAGTGACAAACAAAGTGTTCCTCTTCCCATAACCTCCCCCATTTTTAAGTTAAATTTCATACATGCACCATGAAACACTAAGGATACTTTTATTTACCTATAACAAAAAATTCTTAGTGGTGCTAAATATATTAAGACATAAACTTACAGAAGAACAATATGCGTCTGTGATGGTATATTCCAGAGGAGTACACACAAGTTAAATTGTGAGCACCTAACAAAATAGATCTTTTTCATGCAACTACTGCTTTTAATTCAAGAAATGCAGCAGGTTTTGCTGTAACTCATGATTAACTAAAGTTAAGGTGCATCTAAGGTTAAACACACACACACAAAAAAAAAAACAGCAGTTTTTTTTAAAGCAGTTTTATAAAAGTCAATCTTACTTTAACAGAAGAGAAAAAAAGGGAGAGGCCCAGTGACTTCACAGTGGCATCCACTGCTTGGCTGAGCACTTTTACCAAGCAGTCGAGAACAAGCAGGAGAGCACAGCCGGGCGCTCTTCCTTGCTGCTCACAGGCTAGTCAAAATAACAGCAGATCATCTCCATAGCAATCAAAACATTACAATTGCAACAAGGTCAGCAAGGCTTTCCTGTAAAGCACAACTTTAGTGCTTCACCTCCAGCTTGCTCAAAAAAAGAAACATTTGAAGAAGTTCTTCAGCAATTCACAACAGAGTTGCTTGCTATTTTAATCAGTCAGCACAAAGCTACAACAGTTTGTACAATAGTTTAATGGTTTGTACATTAGTGTTCAAACTGCCTTTAGTTAATTTTTGGTACAAACTGGGACCCTTCCTTCCCTTCCCCCCTTTCCCCCATCAAGAAAGATGAGTAAAAGCAGGAAACTGCCTTCATGTTTAACCCTCTTGAAAAACAGAAACAAATAAAAGTAGCTGCAGGACTTGAAGAGGGAAGGCTTTTATTTTTTTTTTTTTWAAAAAGGTCCTATTCTCTCACTTCTCCTGTCCTATTTATAGAAACATTATGCTTAATAAAAATCTTTTAAGTCTGAAAAGATTTTTGAAACACATCTACCTGCAAAAACAATCACATTTGTGCAGAWTTTTTGCCAGTTTATTAAATATTCTTTTCATATTATATAGAGGGATGAAGCATTAAAAATAGTATGTATGCCTCAGATTCACTCCTTTRTAACATGCATAAGCTCCTTGTTTAAGGAAGAGTGTTGCCAGATTTGCTGGTATCACCTAGCTGTGACAGTAACCATCTAGATAATGACATCTAATAACTGCTTTCAAACTGGGTAATAGTGGGTGCAGTTGCATTTTCAGGAATAAAAATTTAGAATACAKGTTAAAACAAAGCTTACCTTTAATTTCTTATTTAGCTTACAGCAGTATCTGTATAACATTGCCAAATTCAGAGGTCCAAAATCTCCATAGAAACTGTGACAAAAGGGAACATTGTTGTTATTGATACAGGAGAGTTAAGCAAATTTCAACAAGCGTCGTAGTGATACCTAAGGCTACTTGTGGGCAATACTGCATAGCCATGGCAACATATATGGTGCACCAGATAAGTCCTCTGAGAAAGACAGCAACATATCCTACTTGACAGGATTTGTAGCTTCGGTATCTACTTTTCATTAAAAACATATGGTTTAACTACAAATTCTTTTTCTTCACTCCAGAAAATCCAATCTAATTTTGGCCAAGATTAGAGAAGAATAGAGCAGAAAACTTCAATACATGGTCTATTTCCTTTTYGGCCTTGACAGCATCATCTATGTTATATAGTCATCTTAAGCAGTTACACAACCTCTATTACATACTATTAAGAATAGGGAAAATAAATCTAATCCTGCTACCCATAGGAAATTGTAATTAAAAGCATCTAGGCTTGATCCTCCTCGGCAATGTAAAGTTGGGGTTTTTTTTTATTCCATCCTCCATGACTTCACAAGCTTTATGGTATACATAAGCTTTMGATATAATTTTCCCCTTTCCTCTTATTCCTCTTGTCTCTAGGCTAAATTCTTCTGATTTATCATTTGGGGTTTTTTTCTGTATTTCAGATTATCCTTTGCTCCCTTCTAGAGTCTCTTTAGTTCTTATCAACCTTGAAGAAATTCYACCCTTGGTCCCTAGGATCAAAGCCACTAGTTGGAATAGTTTATATTGGGAAACTACTGCACTGTAAAAGCTGCTGGGAACAATTCACAGTGATCTTCCTTAGTAACCCATCATATAGACACCTTTACAAGTATTAGAAATGCACAGTTTATATAAAGCATTGAAGAATACCAGCCATGCTTTAGGATAATTAGATTTTATTACTACTTGTTTGTTAGAAGCACACAAGCATGAAGTCATATACTCTACTTCTACCGTTCTGCAAGATCAATCTCAAACAAAAGTACAGAAAAAAACATAAAGATGTCTATCATGGACAACTTCATTTGTAAATACAAATTATGTTGAAGCTGTCTAACATTTTCTTTCTGTCTTGGCAGAGGGGAGGGTAAAATACATTTCAATGAGTGAATCCATAAACTTACAGTATCTTTCTACCTGTATACAAGATTGACAAAATAAAGCTATTCAGGTTGTGTCACCAACCAAGCTACAAACGTCACAATCTTAGACTTGCTCTTCCACCAACACCTAAACATACAATGCTTCCCCTACACCACCAAAACACCAAAACACACTGGCAAGTACCGATTCCTTTGCACACCACCACATGGGCAGAATAAACAGCTATTATCTCTGTTGGTAACAGACTGTGCCACTGCAGGACAGCAATGCAAAGACTCTGTGTGGACAAGGAAACAAAAATAATTTGGCTTTTTTCCTACTTAATACTTCTAAATAGCAGTAAGTTTCAAAATAAAAGTGTAATAGGGCTAGGTGAAACAAGTGCTTCGCAATCCTCCAGAGTTCTCTGAAAAAAACTCCAAGCCTTTGTGTTTAAGTTAATGTATTCTGATCTAAAAACTCCTTCACCATATATCCTTAAAACTAAATACAATTTCTGACATGCTTAAGCAGAAGAAGTTCATTTAATCCACACTCAATATTTTTAGTAGAAGTCCATTTCTGTAGTTTCATTTGAGACACTTAATCCTAAGTCTGACAGAGGATTTTCTTAAGAACAGAATTTCCACYGAGTTAACTTTAAGTGGAAAGATGGGAAATACCAGAGGGGAGAATAGAGTAATTCTCCACATAAAGACTTACTTGGCAAAAGTTAAAGACAAAAAAGCATATCAGAAATTAATTGTTTACATGACTGTCATTGATTAAAATAACAACTAGGCATTGTTAGCTTACTTCCCCCCCCCCTTTTGCAGATTAATAGATTTTCTTTGCCCCTAGATATTTTTTGCAGGTATTCGTATGTAATAAAATACCTATCAAGATGCCTTTGCTGATGCTACCTGTTAAGATCTTGAGGCAACCATTTATGATGGAGATGGGGACCMGATATAAAGTGGAAGGTGGTAGAAATGGTATTGAACTACATTTCATTATATTTTGTTTTATTCAAGTACTTAGATGAGAGCTTGTAAATTATTCTCCAWCATATTTTGCAAATTTCCCTATCATATCTATACACACACACTTCTTACACAAGGAAGTAGAAAAACCTCAGGATACTCTAGATAAATATTTAATAAGTCTCCTTTGAAAGTGTTTTGATAATGCTTCTTAGGAGTGGTAGCAAATGTTTGWTGTATGAGTATTTTCCTCGGAACTAATTCCTGACACCCTTCCTATGAGGGCTGACAGCTTCTCACCAGAGGCACTTGCTGAAGTGCATCACAGGAACTGTTATTCACCTATTCTATCATGCAGGCAATTACTGTATATTATTCCATGAGAGAGTTTAAGGTGAAAGCCTCATCCAGAATCCTTTAAGACAGTAGTCCTGCTTGTTTTTAACAGCAGCTCCACTAACCCTCGATTGCACTGTGATGCCTCCTTGTACCATGTGCCAGCTCACACCTTGGGCATCTCTTTTAAACTCTAAATCCATTTATTATTTAGCATAAGAAAGTCACAGACTCTAGCACAACAGCTAAGTGATGCACAGCTGCTGAACATTAAATTAATTATTGGAATGCTGTTATGGTCAGCGAAGGAGTTATAGAGCTGCAGTCTTTGAATTGGTAAATTCCATCTTAACATCACAGTCAACCTATTTATGGCCAAGGTGTCAAGTTATTGCTCAGAGAGAAACTGTATTATTTATACTGTACCCTAGAAAGCCAATGCTGAAAGCACTGTGCTCTGTGTGTGCTCCGAACATAGCTATTAAGCAGTAGAAGAGCCAGCCACTGGAGAGTGGCCAACAGGCTGCTACAAATAAATGCACCAAACATAGGCTGAACACATTAAGCTCCATACAAAGTTTCTGGATAAAAGTCAAAAGGATAATCCCCCAGATTCATTACAACTTAACTCTTCTGGTCAATCACCTTTCTTCCACTATTGTTTCTCCTTGCCACTATTCAAGTGGGTGAAACAAGGTGGGAAGCCCAGTACTGCTTTGTCCCTTCTCCAGTCTCAGCAATTCCAGCAACACGTGAATTGTCAGAAGCTTTCTTATCTGGGCTAAGACACAATCCTTAACACTTAATACGACTTAAGGATTGCATCCTTCTGCACACACCAAGGAAGATACAGTGAACATAACACTAAAAGCTATATACTGCTCTATTACTTGCATCTGGAGGCAGAAATAATGCAGAGGCTTTGAATTATGCAAAAGGAAAACAGGTACTCGCTCCATTTCCCCTTGCGTGTTCCAAATTCTCCTTGAAAACCTGGTTCTTCAAAACCCAAGAATACAGCATAGCTCTAATTATAGAGCAAAAAGGCATTCTAAAAACTGCTTTTTTAATATAGTGGTCCTTGAACCAAGAACAAAGCACACATGAACCAATTCCACAGTAAACAGTTTGCCTACAGAACAATACTTAGGTTTCTACCGTGCTCTATTCCCTTTGGGTGGGTGGRCACCCTCTTAACAGAGCCTAATTTTCTTACAAGGGTTTTTCTATATCAAGCTACCTTCCTGCMCAATATAAAACAGAAGCCTGGAAAACAGAAGGTCTGTCCTGTTCCTGTACTGGTTTATTGCAAACAAAAGAAGAAGCTTCAATAACGTTGGTAATTGCTTTCCCATGTGAAGAAGTGAGAACAGATATTCTAAAGCAATGTCTGTATATACGATTTATTAAATTGTTAGGCTGGAGAGAACACCTCGGGTGTTACAGTATAGCACATCAGAAGTTTCAAACATAAATGTTATGCCAGTTATCCAATCTCTATGTAAGGGCACACATTTCCAATTCTTCTAATTTCGTAGCAATTTTCTGTTTTAGAATACRTTTAAGATCTAGAGTGGTAGAACAACACCCATATATGAACAGTATTCTTTATGAGCATCCAAAACAACCAGATATCAAAAGTTGTTATTAGTATATGAAGTTCTTCTGCACAGTATTTAGACAAATGTTGACAGAAGAAGGAGAATTTAAGAAAGTTTGCCAAGTACTTTTTTTTATTTTGTAGGCTCTAACCTACCACGTTATCTTGGTCATCTGATCCTCAAGTTCAGATCTTCAGAAGCTGCTGAAGTGAACAAAGAACTCCCTGTACTCCGTGTGAAGTAACGGCTCTGTTTGTTGTAACAAGGCGACTAAGTTTTCTTTTTCCTTTCAAGCAAAACAAGCCAATGAATGATACAGAAGTTAAGGTTTCTTATGCAAGTGCTGTTACAGGATAGCCACAGTTGAGCAAGGAAGCATTTTACTCCAAACACAAAGATGAATTTACTCTTCTTACAGGAAAGAGATGCTGGTTCCTTGACTAAATACATGCAAGGAATGAAATGCTTCCCATGAGTGAAGGTACCAATTTAATTTAACTAAACAATTGAGAATCTTAGTCTATTGCTTCTTGAACTCAAAAAAAAAAAAAAAGCTAACTTAAGACTGTTGTGAAATGGGCAAGTAACCTAACGTGGTTGAGAAGTGTCTCAGCATTTAAGATAGTATATACTAAGGATGTCACATTAATTACTTTTACTGCTGTTCACAAGATGTCAGAGAGACTAAGTCTGAAAAAAAAGTAGTTTATGCAAGAGATCAAGTCAGAATAGATGGGTATAAAAACATCATGATTTATGAAAACTGCCATCATAATTTAATCAAGAGGAGAGATTCCTGTTTCTAATTATCTAAGAGTCTCATTCCTCAGGGTTGAAAGAACATAAAAAGTTGCTTTGAAAAATATAACTGACAGCCTATTACAAGTTAACCAGTCAAGTGTAGTATTCCCAACCCAGATCTGTTTACTGAAAGGTGAAACACAAAAGACACTATTCTTAGAGAAGAAAAAAGCTTTTTGCTGGTGCCCAACTCATTAACTGAGGTCCTGCCAAGGCAAGGCTTGTCTACCTGCCAAATGACCGTCTTCACCAAGCTGGATTATTTTGCATCAACCTCATTTCCCTGAAGTAATAGCTACCTGCACCATATTAACCTGAAAAAATCACATTCACTTAGAAATGGCAGAGCYGGTTTCCTCAGGATGGACTGCAGAGAGTTTCAGGGACTGACATAGAAGTCTTGCAGAAATAGATCCATTAAAAAGAAAAAGTTGAGTTTACAAATTCAGAGTTGGATAAAATCACTTTTTTTTTTYCTCTCTTTTGTTCCTCAGCTGAAGAATTTGCATACAAGCTCTTCCTACAAGCTCTTCCTTAGCATGACAGGTTCAAGGTTAAATTTCAGCACATTTAATTGAAACAGTGACAGTTCTAGCAGCGAGTTTCTAGTCAGCTAACATTTGAGATGTTCTTAAAAGTATTTAAACCTTTCTTGTTTTTATTTTAAGAAGTGTTAATGTTTAAAAAAGTGAGGACAATGTTATGAATTCATTAAAACTGTTGACAACTTGAAGGGAAAATTGGAGACTAAGTACTCCAGATCATGTGTAGTCAATCACACTCTGTGTATAATTCAGCATTTAATCATGTGACAAACTACAACAGSAAGTCAGCATTTGTCAGACCAAAACTTCCAAAATCATCAGCTTTAGTGCTACAGCACTTTTGTCTAACAAACAGGGATACACAAATAATGTAAACTATTACATCCTTATTATTCTTCAGAGTGAAAAAGGAAATGAGACAGGGAACAGATTTTAAATAGTGAGCCATTGAATAATATATGATTTATGACCCTTCTAACAACCTATGTACTTCATTAGTTTAAACATCATATAGTGCCTCAACAGAAGCAAGTTAATGCCTCAGCAAAGTCCGATAAGCTTACGTAACACACTTTATACTTAGAGCTATTGCTAAGGATGGTGCAAAGCAGCTCAAAGAAAAGCAACTTATTTCCCTGCATAATGAAGTACTTTTATCTAGTCACTAAAATGTTGCATCCAAACAAAATTACATCAGCAAACGGTCACGTTAAAAAGATTACTTATCTCATAGGTGCCAAAATCTTTGTGGTTGAGTGGACACCAGCAACAAACATGAAGAAAAGGAAAGGTAGATGGTAAACAACATTTTCATAAGAACCAGGAAACTTGCAACCTATTCCTCATTTTGCCACTAGACTTCTGATTTCAGAAAGATATTAACAAATATATAAGATGTGGCTTCAATTAACACCAACTKTTACTTCCCTAAGGCAAGACGAGCTTAACTGGAGACAGAGAGACGAGAAAAGTCAGGCATTATCAGTATACTATCAGGGAAAGGTTAGAGCTCTTCAGGAGAGCCAGTGAGGTTATTACTTGCACTATGAGCGCAGTACGCCCTCAAACCACCAGCTACTGCCCTAAGCTTCTACTTCATGATATGGAGCTGTATTTTAGCTTGAGTGGAAAAGGAAAAAGGAAAACTACTACTACTATTTCAAATATAGGATGACACCTATACAAAACAAACAAGAGTTCAAATAGGTTAGGAACTACCAGTAAGAAGAATTAGACATCTGAGGTTCCAAGTTCTTTAGAAGTGTCCTAGAAGCACTTCCTTTCATTAACTCACAAATATTCTTGGTAACATGGTTACAGTTTAGCATGTGGTTTTCTTTATATAATTTTAACAATTACAAATATCTTCTTAGTGACTTCTTTGGATACACCCCAACCTCTCCACACCGGTTACAACCCCTGGCTATTACAACCATCTGTATCTAAGCACACAGACACGCTGCCTAGTAAGGGAACTGGTCACTCACACACCTTGCCCTGTAAGTTCAAACCCTACAAATTTTTGTTGKTTTTTTTGCCCCTTATAGGAGAATATTAAGAATTAGAATTAAAACACCAGTCATAACATGAAAGTTTTATGAGATATGAGGTCTTTTTTTTTTCCTTCTCACTAAAAAAATGGAAGCATATTCAAACAACAGAACTCAGCTGGACAAGGCCCTGAGCAACCTGATTAAACACTGAAATTAGCCTTGCCTTATGGTGAGCTCCAGAGGTCCCTTCCCTACTGAATTATTCTATGATCATTACAGAACCCATTCTGAACCTCCTCAACCTTCAAGTTACATATGAAAAAAATAACTGCATATAGATCATTAAAAATACAACAGCTGAAGAAATTAAGACTTAGAAATGTCTATAGAAAAGACTAAACACAAAAATCTTAAGGTTTGCCCTGGAAGTAACCTAGGAACCAAGAAAGACTCATTTCTACCCTACAGGCAGTATCCAAAGGAGGAAAGGGGGGGGGGGGGAACCCACAAAAACACCACCACACACACACACCCAACACACACTCCCACACACTTTAGCTATAAACACAGCCTTCTCCAAGTTACGAGCTTCTCTGCCAGTTTAAACTAGTACGTCAGACTTAAGAACTGTAGCAAGTGAGGGCTGGATATTTGGTGTGTTTTGCTATTCCTGCCAAGGCAGCCCAGAACTGTCAACTTTCCTCCAACTTTTCCTTTCCACTAAAGCCCTAAGCTACAAGGAGGAAAGCTGTGCACGGCCAATCCTCTAGATGTTTAATGCCATTTTACAACCCACTGCCTGAAGTTTACAGCCTTACTTTACTGGAAGCAATTTTGTGCTCACAACTTTTGGTTTTAAGTTCAGATAATATACATAAAAATAGATAACAGGAATCTAATTAAGCATCCTTAAGCAGGGCGATTACTTTATTCTTTCAGTGTACTTACCTCATGTCCCTCAGTACCTGGCAAACTACACTCCACTATGAACCCTTCATTGCTGTTAGTGTGTTCTAAGGACACAAACACTTAATTTCAGCATTAGCACTTTTCCTGCTCCTTTAAAGCTCCAGGACCGACCAGAAACATTCTCTCAAAATCTTCTRAAGTCTTAAAAATGAAAGCAAATCTGAGCTTTGCAGAATCCAAAGAAGGGTATGAAAGTTGGTTACTTTTTACAGATGCACTTTACTACAAAGAAGGTATAAAGCTACAGCTTCATTTAAAACAACAGTCCTCTCCTAAGGCTACTTACATCTCTTCAGGGGGTGTCCTACATAGATGCTCCCCACCTCGTACGCAGTCCAGCAGAGCTCGGATCACCTCAGGTGGGCGGGGGGGCGGTTATTTAACCCCCCTCGACTTCTTTCCTCAGTGCTGTCACCGCTGCTGCCCCGCACTACAGGGACCAAGGGGCTGCGGCGAGCAGCGAGGGCGACGCGCACACGAGAGCGCGGCACTTACTTCTCGTAGACTAGCTCCTCGTCCGTGCAGAAGTAGTGCGTGTTCACCGTGTTTTTGGGCTTGTTTCGCAAGGTGGCAAAATACAGGCGATCTGCAAGAGAGCCGTGGGGCGCCGTGAGGGCTGCGCGCCGGGGCCGCGGGAGGCTGCAGGGGGCTCCTGCCCGGGGCAAAGCCACAGGTGCCGGCGCTGCCGAGGAGGAAGGGGCCGCGCGGAAGCGAAGCGGCCCGGGGCGAGCGAGGCCGGCGCGCAACGCGAGGCCGGCCCGGGGGGCGGCAGCGGAGGCGGYGGCGCCGCGGGCGGGAGGGCTCCGCGGCGCTCTCACCTTTCAGCAGCTCCGAGGCTCCCCCCAGCACTTCGGCGGCGCCCGACACCGGCTCCATCTTAAAGAG